ACATACTCACACTCACACTCACACTCACACTCACACTCACACTCACACTCACACTCACACTCACACTCACACTCACACTCACACTCACACTCCCACCGCCACCGCCACCGCCGTCGCCGTCGCCATTACCATCGCCCTTGCAATTATGAATGCACCATACTTCAATCCATTCGCTGCTCTCGGCCTTGATCCCCGTACTGCCACCCAAGCAGATATACATTCATTCATTTATTCAATACAGCTGGATAGATCGATTGCTATCAATGTCAAGACAGCAGTCCGTCATCGAATTAAGTATAGCATATACAGCTAAGGTCTTGAGAAACAAGCGACAATGCAGGGCTTCATAAACGTCTCTAATGCTATGTATGGCCTGAACGTAACACCGTCTGGTATCATTCCCCCTCATCCCACCCCCTTAAAAAATCACACTACTCATATGTACCCCTTTCATCCTCCAAACCAGTCATGACAAACCCCAACGCCCCGCTAATCAAAAGCAAAAAAAGCGAGGGTATATGTATACGTAGTGTGTCCCCGGCATGCCATGCAAACTCTATCCCATCAATTATACACGCCAATTCAAAATAATCCCATCATCACTTCTTCGGATCCTGCTTAAAAACACTGCTATCCCTTCCCACGTCCTGCACCCTCCCATTTTCCGTCAGAGCCGCGTTGCCAGACCTAGTTTCCGAATTCGGTTCCTCATCGTCGTTCAGTGGCCCATGTCGTCGTAGCTGCATCGTCAGATCACTACTCTCCCGATTTGGATTATCTACAGGGGCAGGTGGATGCTGAGATGCTGAGTCGTTGAGAACGCTACTCGCAACCTGTCGCGCGGTTGCATACATACTAGGTATATCGACGTGTGGCTGTTGCATTCTATTAGATTCAGGTGAAATAAAAAATAGAGTGGACGGTGGGGGGCGGGGAGAACTAACCTGTTTTAAGTACTGATCCAATTTATTCTGCAGTACGCCTACACGGACCGGTTTTGCAAGGTAGTCGTTCATGCCAGCATCAAGACATTTCTCTCTATCACCTTGGATCGCCGAGGCCGTCATAGCAATTACAAGTATGCTGCGCACGACTTCGACTGGGTCGCGCCGGACCAGTTTTGTTGCTTCGTAGCCGTCTAGTACGGGCATCTGGACGTCCATGAGTATTATGTGGTACGGTTCATTTTCTTCTGCTTTCTTCCGTAGCCCTTCTACGGCTTCGAGGCCGTTGTCGTAGGCGTGGACATGTTTATAACCTAACTTCTGAAGGAATTGAATCGCAATTCTTTGGTTGATGCGGTTGTCTTCCGCAACGCAGATACGTAGTTCTTCCCGGGGGATGTGCGAGTAGTCTGAGTACGCAGCAGTAGACTGCACGACGGGCGAATATTTGGCCATTGGATCCCGTCGCTGTTCCATGCCATTATGGAGAGTAGGAGTTTTTTGTGTTGATTCATCTATCTTCTTGAAGGTAACGGTGAACCAGGCGGTTGTTCCTCGATTCTCGATACTTTCGAGGTGGATATGGCCTCCCATCATGGATTCGACGAGTGATTTGCAAATACTGAGACCAAGACCACTTCCCCCATATTTTCGAGCTGTGCTAGCATCCGCTTGACTGAAAGGTTTGAACAATTTGACAAGCTTCTGAGATGGAATGCCGATGCCGGTGTCTTTGACCCAGAATGTCAAGGTGGCTGATTCTTTGGTCTGTTCATCGCACCGTGCACCGACAGTGATCGAGCCCATCTCAGTGAACTTCATACTGTTACCTATTAGATTTCCCAGCACTTGATGTAACCGCACGGGATCTCCATAGATCAACAGATCCGGTAGGTTGACGTCCTGCAGGATCTCGATGTTCTTGAGCCGTTTCTTGTCGCGATAGCTGTAAGATACAGATCGTACAATCTCACGGATCATTTCATCAGGCTTGAATGACTCGATACAAAGCTCCATCTTGTCGGCCTCCATCCTCGAGAAATCAAGGATATCGTTGATGACAGTGAGCAACAGGTCAGCTGAGACACGAATGGAATCTGCCAACTCAGACTGCTCCTTGCTCAAATTGCAATCCCTCAGAAGCTCTGAATTTCCAATCACACCGTTGAGTGGCGTCCGAAGCTCGTGCGATACATTTGCCAGGAAGATAGACTTCGCTTTGGCAGCTTCCTCGGCTAGCTTCACACTAGCAAGTGCTTCCGCTTCAGCCTTCTTCGCTTTGACCTCAGCTTCTTTGGCCTTCTTGAGCGCCTTCTTTTGCATATCGACCATAGAAGTGTTGAAAGCAGAAACCTTCTTGACCTCCTTCAGCGTCAGTGCATTAGAGTAACTGATGCCAATCTGGTTGACTAGCAATTGTAGTACGGTAAGGTTGCGGTCAGTGAACGCATTTACCTCTCCCTCGAGGTACAGAACACCCAAAAGAGGCTTATCGCCATGAACAATTGGTATAGCGATTACTGATTTGCCAACGGGATTTCGCGCCGACCACGCCTCGGTGACGTTACTGAATCGTTCATCACGGAGAATGTCTGAGAGGAACACAGTTTCTCTAAAACGCGTGCAGTACAGGATGACGCCTTCAGCCACAAGAGGAGTTTCACGCAGAGGAAGTCCAGGAATGTGAGCCTTGGCACCTCTTTCCGGATCTCCACTGGCGGCAATGCTCCAGCCAGGAGTTGGATCATCCTCCTCGACGACGATAGCTGCTGAAGTTGCTAGGCCACCACAATTTTGCAGAATAATTTCGCACATGGTCTTGAGAAGCTGGTCAACCTGAAGTACGCTTGAGATGACTTGAGAGCTTTCGAGAATTGACGTCAGGTCCAACATGTCCAGAGCAGGCAGTCCAGAACCTGCATCAGGCCGCGCCGACCCTCCTTGCCAAGCATCAATCCTGTCACCCTTGCTCTCAGTAATCAAAATACGAGCTTGCTGGCGTTCATCATCCTCGTCACCTTCGAGTGTCCTATACCGCACAGGCGCCGAGTCTCCAGCAAAGTCGGTCTGGCAACCAGCTTCTGCAGTCCGCATATTTTGGGTTGGGCCTTGCAACAAGAGGCTGTGCTCATCCTCGATGTACTTGACAATTCCAATAGCACCGATTTGCCGAAATAGTCGGACGGCATCTCGCAACGACGCTTTTGCGGCCCGCCTAGAACCGGCTCGGAGGAAGAAACTTGCAAACAAGTGATTGCCAAGAGCTTCTTCAAAAATGAAGCCATTTGATGAAGCGTGATCCAGCGATTTCTCGTAGTAGGCCAAAGCTTTGCCATGGTCATCCTCCAATTCGGCAATCTGAGCAGCAAGCAATGTCGACCAAGCCACATAATTGACATCATTGACAGTCTGCCAGTCCTCGATATTTTTTTTCAGGTACATCACTTGCTTGACCACATCGGCAGTCTCTTTAGCAAGATCAATTTCGGAAGGTTGGTGAGTGACTGCGATGCTTTTTCTAACATCGACTGATTGATCTTCCTTGAGCGCACGCAGAGGGTGCGACAACTTGCTCCACATCACGCCACATAGAGCCAATCCGTGAAATAACATAACCTGCCGGGTATTCCTCGCAGACCATACGAGGTCAATGTTCTTGAGCAAAGCGTCTCCCAACTCAATAGCTCTCGGATAATAGCCATACAAGACCAGCGGAATCATTTCGAAGCCCTCATAGAAGAAAAGTGAGCGGTCAGAGGATCTGAGTGTCGTTCTCAACCAAAACTTGTACTGCAATGAGTCGTGCGCTTCGTCGCTCATAATATCCAGCGCGCTATATGTAACAGTCTTTCCTTGCATCGCGCGGCATGCCTGGCGAATAGCAATAGCCATCGTGCCGCCCCTAGGGTCGAATTGCCAATTATGTATCTCTTCGCAGCCATACTGGATGAAGTTCTCAAGATCCACCATATTTTCCGAGGCGAAAAACTTGAGATTAGCAACAAGTCCGAAATTCAGGATCGTAGAGATCCGATCGCCAGCCTGGATAGCATATTCCAAAGCTCCTTCTAGCTGTCTGAGCGACTGCTGGAGGTTTGTGTCAATATGACCGACAAAGAGCGAATAAATGGTTCCACCTCGACCCATGGTATAAGGGTCTCGCCATCGATTCATCAGCTCCAAGGAAATGCTGCCCATCTCAGTTGCGAACTTGATCATGGTGAACCGGGTAATTGCGATCGATGCGAGATGCAAGTATCCCATACCTGCCTGAGGGAAGTTTCCTTGGGTCAACTGCATGTTTACCATGACCAAGGTAAACTGATAGAAGATCAAACTATCTGTCCAGTATGCACCACTTGTAGTCTCTACCAAGACAGCACCCGCCGCAGCAATATTCGAGTCTTTCGCCATCGGCTTTGTTACCAGACTATTGGAATCCATTGACTGGATCTTGAAAGACAAACGTTCGAATTCCAAGTCGCATTTCTCAAAGCTGGGCTCATCATCGACAACAACGTTCAAGGCAAGAAGACATTGCTTCAGAGCCTGGAAAGCCGCTGGCGAGTCACCTTCTTGAGCAAAGACTCTTGATTGGAGCACCCAAGCAGGTGCCTTGTCGACAGGAGTCCTTGCCTTTTCAAATACAGTGGCCAAGAGGCGCTTAGCGTCTTTATATTGTCCCAGGTAAAGATAGCATTCCGCCGCCCTAACATACAGCTGAAGAGTCTCGTCGTAATAGACGTCGAGAGCGCCCTCTTCCCATGGATCTTTTTGGAGGAGGGCAAAACAACTGGTATATAATTTGGTCGCTGTAGATCTGGCACCATTTTCAGCGCTAGATTGTGCAACGTCGAATAAGAGCTTCCTGAAAGATTGCCTATGTAGCACACGCTCATTGATGATGTTTACAGACTTGGCGACATGCATAGCCGTATCATCCTGACTTCTTTCCTGAGAAGAGTAGTACTTCTGGAGCGTCTGTGCGATTATGAAATGCATTCTCGATGCATTGCATTCAGCAAGAGATAGTGCCGCCTGACTATACCGATCATGAGCAAACCGGAAGCGATCATCGTCGTTGGTAGCAACGATTATATATGCTTGGATTGTCGCTTGAAGTCCTTCGACAGCCTCCTCTTGAGAATACGTCAATGCATAGGGTTTGAAGTCTTCCGGTGAAACGATGCCCATCTCCTCAAAGTCAAATTCTCCACTGAGTAGTCTTTGGATCAGTTCAAACGAGAACGATGCTCCCAATATCGATGCCCATGCCAATATCGCCCTTGAAGCAGGTGGTAATTCATTAAGGCGGCTTGTGACGAAGTCATTGTTTAGCGTTTCATAGTAATTCTCCGTTTGAAAATGCTTGAAGATTCTATCCAAGCTAAAACACCAGCTGCTTTGCTTGTAATCGTACCATATGCATTGCTTTCGGTGGCACGTATCGAGCATTTCTCTCATATAAAATGGGTTGCCAGCCGTTTTGGATTGGATTACTGCTGCTAGGGGAATGACGTCTTCTTTTGATCGACAGAGGGTCGCAGCCACAAATGTAACGATATCGTCTTCAGTCAGGGGCTTTAAGGTAATTCGAGTGACACCAACACCACCCATTTTTATATACTCTGTAGAAATGTCAGCACTAACATACGATAGTGATTTGGGCGCCCAAACTGATACCCTCTGTATTTGGAGGTTCGATGATTCCTTTGATTTTCTCCGGGAGGATCTCATCGGGTCGATAAGTGACCAAAATCACCATCTTCATCCTCGCCGCGACAATTTGAGTTATCAGATCCAGGGATTCATCATCTGCGAACTGCAGGTCATCTAAGCAGACACAGATGAACTTATGCTGCGTGAACACACGTAAGACGTCCAGGAAAGTGTTCATTAACCGCATGGATTTGGTTGATGAGCCAGCTCGGAGGAAGTCCTGCGAGTTTTGGGTGCCAGGGTCCTTGTTGTAAAGACTACCATGGGAGCTTGACGATGACAATTCGAGTTTATTAAAGTCGGATCTTACGCTCTTGTTGTATGCTTGGGACGCTGAGCTTGAGTGTATTGACTCAGGCGCACGGTGTGATTTAAATTTAGTCGCAGTGGGCAATGCACCGATCAGAAACTCGGGAAGGCCTAGGAGTTTGTGTAGCATTGGCCAGGCTGGTCTGACGTATTGCTTCAGTATTTGGTGAAAAGGCGTGTCTGTGTTGCTCTCGGAAAATACCTGTTTGAAAAGACTGGATAGCAATTTCAGAACTGGCCCGAAAGGGGTTTTCTTTGCCCTGTCAAATTTTGAAGAAGCAAAATAACCTCTCCGGCGCGCTTCAACCTGTACAGAGTGTACGAGACAGCTCTTTCCCAAACCCGCAGCCCCTGAAATGCCAACAACCTCGCAGCGCCCTTTTCGGTGGAACTTTTGAGTGTTATGTCTGTTGGCCAGACTCCCCACGCTATCCGAACTTGATCTCGTACCTCCGCCAACTCCAGCTTCTGAATTCATGCTGTCACGCGTACTCCTCGAGTCCATAGTTAGCGAGTTGTTTTTCTCCCAGGGCTTTGGCATGGCACTTGATCGTCCAGAAAATTCTACATTATCCGCGGAGCTTGGGGGTCTTAATTGGCTTGATCCACTCCGAAAGGAGTTGAGGTCGCTTGAGAAATCCAAGTTTTCCGCAGAACTTGGTGCCCCCCTCAAGTGGCTTGATCCACTCCTATGGTCTCTTTGTTCCCCTGAAAGACCACCGGTACTAATAGAGTTTGACTTTGACGGCCCAGGAGAGTTCGTGACCTCTTCACTGGACGTTTCGAGGATTGCAGTATTTGCAGCATTCAGATCGTCGAGACGGTCCTGGGACAGACTAGATGAAGAAGATATGCTAAAGACATCTTGCTTCTGACCAACAATGTGCCGCCGTGAAACTTTATCAATGACTTTGACCACTTCGTCATGCTCATCTGACCTCCCAATCATGACTGTCGGCAATATGAAGAATGAAGAGACGTCTTTAGTAGCGATTTGCCAGTGTTTAAGTGCCGCAGAGTTCCCAGCCCCCAAAAGCGTTCGAACTTCTACGAGATCGTGTCGTAGGCCACTAGCTGAATGGTAACGATCACCAATAGATTTCGCAGTCATCTTTTGAATGATCCTCCCGATGACATCTGGGACATCGATTCTGATGCTCGACACAGTAGGAAGTCGGCGTCCCAAAACTCCCTGGATAATATCCATCGGCGTCTCGCCTTCAAAAGCAGCCTGCTGTGTAAGCATAGTCCAAAAGAGTATCCCTAGAGAATATATATCCGTCCGACTGTCCGGTTCGGCAGGCATGCGTCCTGTCTGCTCCGGACTCATGAACGAGAGTTTATTCTTCGCACCCACTTCCCTGGACAAGGCAGACCACCCCGTGCTTGTAAGGCCATGCTCGAACGTCCTTAGGCCAGAACCGAAGTTGATAAGCTTCACATTCCCCGTTTCCAGATTCATGTGAAAGGCATCCCCTCTAATTTCCCCATGCACAATCCGCTGACCATGATGCAGAATCTCAAGACACTCCGTCGCCCCAATCGCAAAATCCAGGAAGGTCTGCAACGGCACCTTTTCCGTCGGTATGAAGTCATTTCTAAAGGCCTCAAATGCGTCTCCCACCTTTCGGCCCGTATACCACGCAGGGCCATAATCAATAACCCTCGGCAAATAATTCGGTCCTGGGTTCTCGAAAATACACACAACGATCGGGCCCTTATCACCTTGCTGGCTCGCGAGTCGAGTGATTTCCAAGGGCCGAACTATGTGGTCCCCTTCCGGATCTGCGGACTTGATCAGATTCTTGCAGATGTGGTATGTACGCTCCTCGCGCAGGGCGTGTATGGAGATGCGCGCAACGACGGTGCTATGCTCGTGTAAGACTCGCTCATCGCCCGTGTCGTTGTCGCTCTCGCTCGCATCTGTTTTCCTGCTACGAGGCTTTAGGGAGGGCGAAGATCTGTGCTTTGAGGTTGGCCGAGAGCGGGAATGGCTTCCTTTTTCGTGGGGGTGGTGGTTCGCATCTTGTTGTGGTGAGTGGATTTTGATGCCGAAGACGTGCCTATACAAACAGCATCAGCATGGGAAGCTTTCCAGTGTCTGATATAGATAGAGGGGAGGCTTTACCAATTATCAAAACTTGAATGAAAAGGCTCTAGATCCTCGTCCCATTCGTACCCCGAAATCTGGCGTAGGCGCTCATACAGTCTCGCGGGCGGATCCAGATGATCGTCCCCCGGGGCAACATTTCCATCCATGGGCATGCCTGGCCTGGCCTGGTTGAACTACACTACGCGCTTGCCCTTTTCGCGCTTCAAGTCATATCTTCAAGTCTCGTTGTGTTTACGCAGGCTTTCTAAAAACAATATGTTGTTCTTTGCGCGGCGTGGTCCGTACCGTACCTGTAGGTAGTGTAGAGTAGTGTTGTGGTGTAGGCGTGTCTAGACTCTCTACCTACTTCCTGTGAGTAAATCCAAGTCGGAAATGACGTATTGGGAAAATTTAAAGGATCCGAGATTGGATGAAAACAACCTAGATAATAATGGAAGAGTTCGTAAGTTCGTAAGCCCAATAAAAAGGATCCTATCTGATCATTTCCGTAGAAAGCAGATTGGAAATCTTTCTGTTGGCAGTTTGACTTGCTTCGAGTTGCTTCGAGTCGCGTACTCACTCTATACAGTACTTGTCGGTATATTTCTCACATATTTCAGCCACCGCCACAATTCTAACATATTCTGTGCGTACTGTACTCCGTACTATCTGCCATTACTGCACATCATTACCTCGAGTATACTTATTACTTCAATACCTCCCACACGATAACATCTGCTTCTGTTTGTGAAAAAGGCCATCATCTATTTTTCTATGCTTGACTAATGTAAGAACCGCTTACAAAATTGAGGTATCCCCTTTGCGATGCATCTCGAAAGCAAATGTGTGTATCTTCACAACAAAACCGCACACGTTTTTTCCATCAGCAAGTTTGCATCATACCGTAATGCATCCAGCCCAGTGTAAACATAATCTCAGTCCCATCAGATTCTTTTAGCCTAAGAAATCTAGCTCTAGCCATGTCTACTTGACACTCTTAGATGACTTTCTAGCGTGAGCGCTCGAGGAAGTCTTTGAGGAAGCTCTGTCCCGAACAGGGATACCGGCCTTATTGGCTTCGATATCGACCACCTTGGCATCACCAGCAGCATCAGCCTTATTAGTAGCCTTGTTGCTGAAGACCTGGCCACCCTCGACAAGTCGTCTCTCCGTGTTCTGGCGGCCGTTGACGAAATCCGGGTAGTTGAGAGTCAATTCAACGGCACCGTTCACGATGTGGTCAGCAGCCTCCACACCCAACATGAACGAATGGTCCTGGTTGCCAACCTACGACGAATTAGCATCATACTTCTGTAAAGAGCAAGGGCCGAGACAATGGATCATTCTTTGGAACTATCAATGCAGGACAAGGGAGAACAGAAAATAAATTATTTACCTCGTATCTCCAACTTCCGAAACGACCTCGGGAGTAGATGTCCTTGGCTTGGAGCTTGGGGAGAAGCTCCTTGAGAACACCCTCACGCTCTAGCGATGGAGTGGGGTAACCGTGGTCGAAACGACGGTGGTAGGTAGAGACGATCTCATCATCTGGTCGGATCATCTCGGTGTTGATGAGACCCTGGATAGAGTCCCTCATAAGGTTGGCCTGGTCAACTGGTTTCATGGAGGATTCTGAGATTTCCAACATGATGGACCAGTAAGGGCCCTCTTGGGGCTCGGTGGACTTGGGCTTGCTGCCGTCTGCGATAGATTGGGTTGCAAGCTTCACAGACTCTTCTGGCTGGTTGTATGGGGAGTAGTTAGAGAAGATGGTGGCTCGGTAGAATGGGCAGTCATCCTCTGGGAAATAGAGCTGTATCTTGATTAGCACACCATTTTTAGAAGAGAGCTAATGACTTACCCAGCACTTATCTCCAATTCTCTCAGGACGGGCACCTCTGATTCCAACACCAATAACGTGAGTGGATGAATAGAATAGACCCTTGCTCAAAGATACCAGCTCCTTGTCTTCCATTTGCTCAACAAGTTGATCAACAGCCATTGTAGTAATCAGTTTCTTGTATCCAATGGTCTTTCCGCTCTTCAAGGTAACAGTGTGGGCATCAGCGTTAACCTTGGAGACCTCGCCCTGCTTGCCGAAGAGGGTTTTCTCCTTGGGCAGAGTGTTTGCAACGGCAATCCAGATACCACCAGTTCCATCACGAGCAGGGAAACGGAAGGTGGCATTAGGACCCCAGTTGCCTGCAGACTTGTTCAAGATGACGTTCTTGACACAGGTCTTGACATCTGGTGCTGCAACACGCTCTCCAAGCCATTGGCATTGCATCTATAAAATCCATCAGTACAACTCCCCCGCATTTGTGCGTATTTGGGGTGCATGCTCACCTTGGTAGTGGGGACAGCCCAGACTTTATAGTTGTATGGTCTCATGAAGATGTCTGCGAGCCCAGTACCCATCATTCTGACAATCCACTCATCAAAATCCTTGGGCTTCTCGGTGGCGGTACGAGCAATCAGAGCAGCATCGATCATTCCATCAACACACTTAAGCTTCTCCTCTTGTGGCAACATGGAGACATTATTTTGGAGTGGGTATGGGACCCAGAGTGACTTTAGGCGCACGTATGAGATACGTTGATGTGTGTACCAGTCCTCGGCCTTAGGGAGAGCCTCGTCAATGCAGTCGTCGAAGTATTTGTAGTGGGAGAAGATAACATGCCCGCCAACATCGTAGAGCTGAAGGGTCATTAGCTATTGTCTCTTCCTATGGAAAAGCGGCAGACTTACGAAACCTTCGGGAGTGACATCTGTAGATGCCAGACCACCGGGAGTCTCGTTGGAGTCAATAATCATCCATGATGCGCTGTCCTGATGTTGAGGGTCAATTACTCTGTTCGATATTGGCGGTGAAGAGAGAATCTCACAACTTGGTTTAGACGCTTCGCAGCACCGAGACCTGTTGGACCAGCGCCGATGACAAGGACGTCGACATTGCTGTGAGGGAATGGTGTCAGGAAGAGCTTGCTTTGTTTACACGGGCGAATGGTCGAGGCAAGAGCTGTACTCACATATCGGCGGGAGCCATGATTGTTGTTGTCTTCGGCGGGGTCGTAGGCTTGAAGGTTTGCAGAGTTCGGTGGGGTAGAAAGGTGTCGTGTCAAGTTTCTCGGTTTGACAGTCTGTACGGATACAAGAGGCGATATGTACAAAGTAGAGTAGACACTTGAACAAACGAGCTCGAGCTTCAAGCAAGCAGACTTGAGATGGGTATAAATCGAGGGGGGTGAATTATTAGATTTAGATTACCCCTTTGGAACAAGGGTATGTATGTGTGGGCATGGACGGACATGGGTAAGACAGGAGAAAATGTGGCTCGCCTCTTTGCGCTTATCTATTGGCCAGTTATCTACCCCTGCGTGCAAATCTGTCCTATACTCTATCCTTAACATGTGATGTGCATCCAACTCGACTACCAGTACCAGCCAGCCCCTTTTCATCTTGACCGCTCCTGAGGACATGACTCCTGTCAGTTGAGTTGCACCGGTACCTGTGCGAGCTTTGTTCCTCACCAACCCAATAATGTTTACAGCTCTTTTGATCCTTAATATAGACCGAGGAGGCTGACCTTCCGTACTCTAACGCTGACGTGACGCTTGAATCAGCACCTTATTTTTCGAGGCTACGATGTAAAGCTGCAAAACTTTGTATCTTCCAGTCTGAGAGAGATTTTCAGTACAAGTTCTCCGTCCTGTATGACATTGACATGCTGCTACGCCCCTGTCTCTCCCCAACTCTTCCACAATCTATGGAGTCTCCACAACAGTAAATGAGGGCAATCTTGTACACCGCGGTATGCACCATCAACCATATTCCTCGAGTCACCAGCCAATGGCTTGACGAAGATTCCGGTTGCAATTGTGATGGCCAGTCGATTTTTTACCTCTTTGTACCAGTCAATGTTGCCTGCCGGATTCCGTTGCAGGAGGCTTATTGCATTTCCGGTGCTGATTGACTAGCCTTGAATTCGATTCTGAGATGATCAACAAGCTCAGAAGCAGCTCTCTTGCAGACTTGAAATCTCGAAAGAGCAGGCAGGGCAAGGTTAGTGATCGGTTGTAGTCATAGGGAAACATGTTCACTCCTTTTGCCCAGCCCAGTCATCTGAAGGCAAAGCAGACGAACCTGTGCAGAGTCTAGACGTGGGTATTCGTACTGTATTTCTACTTCTATTTGTATATATCGAACAGATCTGAAACAGATCTACATAAAGTCCTGTACCTGGATACTGACGTATCTACTCCGAAAGTTTAAAGATGAAAAGAAAAATAAGCATTTTGGACGTGCTTGGCTACAAGTGCCTAGGAGGCTAGGAGGCTAGGACCTAGGTAGGTAGGTAAATGACGAATTGCCGCGCCTATTTCCGACGACTCTGTGCATTTTAGGCAAATGATTAATCGGATGGTTTTTCTGACCAGATCGTCCAGATCTGCCACTACAAATCAAAACAAAGACCATGTGAAACACTTAGCATAAAGAAAAGGTGGAACTCGCTCCATCAAGATTTTACGGAGCGAGAAAAGGGAAGAGGAGAGGGGGGTGGGGGTTACGCGTGTGCGTGTTTGCGGATAAGAAAATCGGGTCGACCAGGTACTCGCCCATCGAATTGGGTTTGGCGGTTCAGGTTAAGCCACTCTCAAATCCAAGCTGCTACCCTGAAACCACACCACAACTCCTTTACAAACTGCCCTGTCTGCCTCTTACCACATTTCTCTCTCCGCAGCCCATCGTCGACAACTTCCATCCATCGCAAACGTCGCCCCTTCTCTTCTCTTCTCTCCTCCTCGCCTCTCCTCTTCTCTTCTGCACTGCACCCACGCAGAACTATCTTCTCGACAGCAAGCAAGCAATTCTTGAATCTGTCATCCGTTCATTATCACGTCCATTTGCACCGTGCTCCTTCATTGCGATCGCGGATTTCTCTTGTTTTCCAGGCCCAGTAACACATAACACATCTTCAAACATACCACGATGGGTGAAGAAAAGGTCCGCATTTCCGGCGAGTCGCCCAGAGGCAATGATGCACCAATTCTGCCAACCGTCAACCCAGAAGTCGAGAAGCTGCAGGAGCCGGCCTCGAATGGAATTCATCCTGCCTTCTACGTCGTGTAAGGGTTCCCCCAAAATGCTGCCTTGCAGTCCGAATTGTCTGCTGATACGTAAACACAGAGTTTGGATCTCCCTCAGTTCTAGCGTTATTCTCTTTAACAAATGGATATTATCAACCCTCGGGTTCCGTACGTCGCCTCCAACATAACATTCTAGAGATTGCATTGCTGACGCCAGACAAAGATTACCCGATCCTCCTCACAGCATGGCATCTTGTCTTCGCAACCATCATGACGCAGATCATGTCGAAAACGACAACTCTTCTCGATGGACGTAAAACTGTTAAGATGACTGGCCGAGTCTACCTGAGAGCAATTGTTCCAATTGGTGCATTTTTCTCTATGAGTTTGATTTGCGGAAACTTGACATACCTGTATTTGAGCGTCTCTTTCATCCAGATGCTCAAGGTACGTGTACAATGAATCTTCACGCGACGAAATTGCTGACTCTGTCCCAATAGGCCACCACCCCCGTCGCAGTTCTTATCGCAGGCTGGGTCCTCGGAATTGAGAAACCGGATTTCAAGAAGTTGGGCAACGTATCATTCATCGTCATTGGTGTCGTTTTGGCATCATTTGGAGAGATCGAATTCGTTCTGATTGGATTCCTTTACCAAATGGGAGGGATCGTGTTCGAAGCTGTCAGAATCTGCATGGTACAAAGGTTGCTCAACGGATCCGAATTCAAGATGGATCCTCTAGTGTCATTGTACTACTTTGCGCCAGTCTGCGCTGTCATGAACTTGACCATTGCTCTTTTCTGGGAAGTTCCCTACATTCAGATGTCTGAAGTCTACGCAGTTGGTCTGGGAACCTTCTTCGCAAATGCATGTGTCGCATTCCTGTTGAACGTTTCCGTCGTTTTCTTGGTAGGCTATCCCCATCTCGTCTCCAAACCTTGAAACTAACTGCGAATTTCCAGATTGGCAAAACCTCTGGTCTCGTCCTTACACTCTGCGGTGTACTCAAGGATATCCTTCTCGTTGCCGCATCTATCCTCATCTGGGGAACCAAGCTTTCCGGTCTCCAAGTATTCGGCTACAGCATTGCTATCATGGGCATGCTTTACTACAAGCTTGGCCAGAAGGAAATGAAGCCATACATCCAAGAGGGTGGCCGACGATGGGCAGAGTTTGGCGCCAACCGACCCGTCCTCCGCAAGTTGGTCACATTCGCTCTCGTCATCACAGTCATCTTTATCTTGCTTGGAGGCATCGCACCAAACACTGGTCTTGGCTACGACCCGAAGAACTACATCGATGCCGCTAAGAACGTCGTTGGTGGCGTACGTGTTTGAGTATGCACACACCAACCCTTTCAGCAGGAGGAGAAATACGGCTTGGAGAACACTATCTTGTTATAATCCTCGGACACGCCATTCAGCAGACTAACATTGGTTAGTTGGCTGTGCTTTTGATCTCCTAACGACAATTCGCATTCATTCTCCTTTAACAGCATGTGTCCGGTATATAATTTAAGCCCTCCTTCATCTCGTTTCTTTTTACGTTTTATTCAGATTGGTGACTGGGGGCAAGGGGAACGAGATGATACAGTATAGAGTGGAGGGCAACTCTTGGACTTGGTTTTTTTTTTTGCACTCGCACGCACACTGGCTTGGGTGTATGTATGTATAGATGGGGCGTCTTTGTGCGATTGTAGCATGCGGACGTGTATGTGATATTTATAGAAAGGGAAATAAAAAAGCATATGAGAACCAACCTTTTCCAGGAGACTTGGTATACTTTTTAAAGGTCAAGAGAGTATTCAATACAGTAGCCACCTAAAGATTCTGGAAAGATCGAAGAGTCTTGCAGTAGCAGCCTTGCCAGCAGGAAGGCGAAGCAAGGCTACCCCTCCCCTCCATTCCAACCTCCGAGCGACGTCTCACATATACCCCTCTACCGGGTAAACCCCTTCCTCCTAAACCTAGATGCTGGACTACTCCGTACTTGTATACTAGAATCAAAAGCTGACACAGGAAACGGCCCGCACGTGGGGTTTACCCGACACCGGCACTTACTTCCCCCGGGACAGTCCTTTGGTTTCATTCCATTTAAGCTTTCTTCGCAAGTATTGCTGTACTGTATTGGAAACAAAATTCGCCGCGTACACGTGATTAGGAGGAATCTAAGCTAGAACGCGGACGCGACGAGCCGAAACGATTGAATGAAGGATGAATGAACAACGCGCGCGACGTCTGATGACACCTCACCTCATCTTCACTTTCTGGATATTCTGGATATTCTGGGGTACGGTACTGCTCGTGGAGCTTGTCTAGTTTTTATTTTATCTTCCTTTGCTTGAAGTCGAGAAGAGAAGAGATGAGGACCCCTTGGTTGATAATTTGGTGCGGAGATTGGCATCGGATGATAAGTTGTTTGAAAATATTACCGGTACAAGGATGCCATGCTGAGGTGGCAGGATCTTACTTATAGTATGTGTAATCCCGAGTGGGAATCCGTCCACGGGATGTTTGTGGTGAGGCAGAAAGTTTCTTGTGCTCTTTACCTCGAAGCTGGAGTATTTGACAGTTGCCTTTCTGGTAGGCTATGATATGATGGAGAATGAATGTGGTTTGAAGTTTTGCGTTGAGGTTAAGGGTAAGGGTTGTGTATAAAGGATTCATGGATTCTTGTGTTCGCTTTCAGGACTGCTGCAGGTAGGTATGAGTTTGTGATTTGGTGAGTGGGTGAATGGGCAGAGAAATGGCGGCTCTAGGATTGAATAGTTTTCATATGTTATTGTCCATGTCATATTCTGCTTTATTTTGTCTTGAATTGCTTGCAAGTGCTTGTTTTAACTTCTATTAGCCCTAGATACGCTTCAATCACTGTACTGTGAGATTATGATTGTGTTTCTAGGGCTATGAATGAAGTTGGACATCCTTCTGGGGTGGGTGGGTAAATGGACACAACGGGGAGGTCTGCACGCGAGTGGCTTCATTTGGGCGGTTGAGCGTGAGTTTATCTTTTGCGTTATGGATTGCTTGCCCAGCATGCTTCTGGTTCTTCCAAACTTGGTCTTGAGCTTAACAAAAGAACATAAGTTGAAGTTCTGGACGGCAGATTAGAGCCACAATTCATTTCTTATCACTGGCATCTTCAACCACTTCAGTGCTTAGATTGTCCAAGTTCAATCCTTTCATCCACGGTATGTGACAGCTTATCAATCTTTCCTGTGTCTTTTCTTTGTGCTATAAGAGGCATGGATGCAAGCCAGAGCTCTGGGGCCATTGGCTCTCCTCTCACTGCCACCCACGTTTGCCTTTCTCCTATCCCAAAACCGGGCTGTATTCACACAAAACTTCGCTTGCGCTTGTGGCGGTCTGGATTTGCATAGAACACAGCGCGCTTAGCCGTCCGTTTTGTTGTTGGCAAAGAGAATAGCTGCATTTTACAAGCGGTGATTAACGGTATTTGTTTCCTTCCCAGCTTTCAACCTTTTCCAATCTGACCCGGGTACAAATATGGCGTACCCCAATATGCCTAAGAGTTATACTGCAAGCTTGGCCTCAGCGGAGATGACATCCATCGCTTCAGGTCACTCATCGTCGTCTCTCTCTAGTTTGGGAGTGAACCATTTGGAGACGCTCCCCCAGAACGTGAAGAATGAGATTTATGGCTATGTCCTTGCTGGCGTGTGGACAGGGCAGTCCCCCGCCATTATTCAGGCGTTGAGAGGCACTGAGCAGTACATTTATGCCCTCGATGTGATGGCTCAGGTCCACGAGTTCGTTATTTCCTCGAGAAATAACTATAAAATCATGAGAATGCCCCCAAAAGCCAAGAATCTCATCAAAAACGTCCGTATTGAGTTCAAGTAGGTCTCTATTCACACCTAACGACTTTTTCTAACCTCTACAAGATTACTCGAGCACCCATCAAACCGATTCACAACATTCAACATCTTCCCCAATGGCGACGGCATCCTCAAACGCTACCCCAGCTTCACAACTACCACCCTCATCCCTTTCACAAAACTATCGCACTTGACACTCGACGTCTCCTTAGTACCTCCCGATGAAAAAGCCTGGTACCATCTCCTCCGAAGCTTCATCCTCAGGTACCCAAAGCTCAAGAAAGTCACTCTGATCCGCGATCTCAACAAGATCTACAAATGGATCGACGGAAACGTCGTCGGCATCCCTAACCTTTATGGAGATCGCGAACCACCATATCCTACAACATGGGTCAACAATCATTTTGGCGAGTATTACCACACCACCCCACGCGGCGAAATCGATCGCCTGCAAGAAATGACATCCGATCATCTTCTAATTGAGTGTCTCAGCCGAGTCTTCGGCTTCCGCGCCATTCTAGGGAGCGTCAATTGCGATGACCGCGAGACCTGGAGCTGGAACTTCGAGTCTGGTCGATATGCAAGTGAGGAGGGTCTGACGTGGGTTCAGAGCTTGCTTGACAACTCGGGGGCTTGGGATAAGAATATGTGGTGGGATGAGGATGCCAATATCAGAGACTCCTTTGCGATTAATCATTACACGCGCTACTTATCGGGCATGGATCTGGGGAGGGTTTATTGGATCAAGAGGGATGTTTTGGAGGCTGTGAAGAGGGAAGATCTCAAGAAGCTTTCGAAAGAGGATATTGGCAAGCTGTTGCTGAAGTCAAGAAGGGCTTGCGATAGGGAGCTTAAGGGGATGGTGGAGACTGTTGCGGAACTGGCTGAGCACGCGGAGATAGTGGACGTTGCTGCTGAGGAGCTTGAAGAGCCAGAGGTAGAGGTCGAGGAGAAGCCGATGCAGTTTAAGAGGATGAATAAGAAGGATAAGTGTTATCTTGAATACTTGGGTGGTAATACTGTTGTGCTGGATTGGGCAGCTGGAGTAGAGTAGTTGGACGGAGTGAGTTGGGGTTACTATTTGAATATCATGTCTTTTTTGTAAAGAAGCTCCGACTATTTGAATGGAAGAAGTCTCATGTTATCCTTCACCCAAGTGGGTATTCAAGCATGCCTCAACAGCAGAACACAGTCGAATTGAAAGTTATTTTACTTTTCCACCCTTTCGTATCTAGATCGCGGGCTAGAAAGCCTCTGCGGTCTCGAATCTTTGTTGCAACCTTATGAAATTTAGATTTCTCTTTTGCCCTTGCATACTCTACTCCTTGTTTGGAAGTGAGTGAGGCTCAAATTTTGCTCCCTAGAAAGTAAGAGGCAAAGAGCTTATCATTGGATCATGGCGTCAAAAGCATATATCCAAGTCTAGTGCGTCTAGTGAGTTTACAACGAAGTCGCCATCCTTCTGTTCGACATGAATGGGTCCCATCCACTAGGTACCATCCCTCCCTCATGGTCAGCTTGACGCCAAGACCTGTGGATCTTTACCTCTTTGATACACTGTTGCTTTATTTAGACGTATGGACTTCTAAACTTTGCGATACTTGAACTTGGGGTGGGTTAATATGCTAGATGCTATTAATATACTTATACTGAAGAAAATATCTAAACCCTCAACACCCCCCCTCCATTCTACCCTTCTAAAACCCCTGAATTCAATGGAATTGGCTAGGTATACTCGATTATTATTTAGACGTTACACTTAAATCCCAGAAGCTTAAAATGCGCTTGAAACATATTGTCGGCATACAAATCGTATGGCGTCCTTACTCCCTGCTTTTGCCCTTTCCTTTCCTGTCTTGGGCAATAAATCTCCAGGTCAATTGTAGGGGTCAATCTGCTCCTACTTTGTACCTAAGTACTACCGCCAGTATGACATGCAAGGCTACGGTGGCTTAGTCGCTTGCATATGTGGTGGTGTGCGCCGAAATAGAGAAGCCAGGCGACTGGGAAATCGAGCGAAGATTCTCGACATGAGGCACTCGGGATGACCAATCCGACATCTTTTCGAATTTGATGAGGCTTGATTTCGGCTATGAGGGGAAAATATACTGCCTAACTAATGCGCCCTCAGATGCAGCCTTGGTTCTAAGCCTCCACACACACAATGATAGCTGTCGTCCTTCGTCTGTTTCCCACATTTATAGAACCAGCCCACCTTGCCTTCTTGGTTTCATCCTCAATTACTTGGAAATCTGTCCCCAGCGGAAATCTTCATTCTCTATGGATCAAATTCGCCGAAAGAACGTCCCCCAGCGTCCAGACTTCATTTCGCAGACTGATGAGGCAGATGTGATATCTCTCGAATATTACCACCCCGAGACCGACCAGTTTCTGATCGACGATGCGTCTCCTCAGGAATCTTTGGTCCATCCACAAACCTTTGAGAATGATGGTACCTTTGTGAATGAACAGTCACAAAACCAAACACTGGCACAATGGGGCATCCGCTGGTATCGCGAACCCTTACACTTACCATTCTTTTTTGCGACTGGTGTGGGTCTCGCTCTTGGCCATCATTTTATGTATGCGCATCTTGAAGGCCAAATTGTCTCCGATGGCACTTTCTGGCAAGAGACTATCAAGCAAACCGGGAACGCTTTTGTTGCATTTGTTCTTGCTGCGATGAAAGTCGCTATGAAGGAGTCCTATAATCAATACGCCTGGACTTTAGTAAAGAAGAAGCCTCTTAAGATCAAAACCCTCAACAAGGTCTTCTCACTTACCTCTCAGCTCTTCTCGTTCTGGAGCCTTCATCTCATCCGAGAAGCATGGCTTGCATACTTGCTAGGTGCTCTGCCTTGGTACGTCTCTCTTGCTAACAACACGGAGCAGCTTCCTAACGTGGTGGTAGGTTGATCTTCCTCGGTGGACTCACTCCAGCAACTACTTTGTCAGTTGTTCCAGCCTTACGATTGTTTATTGCCAACGGCAGTATTCCACTTCCAGAATACAACAGTTCGTCGTGGGCGTGGGTCGAAGAAGTTGAGACAGATTTCACTCTCGACCCAAGTGCACTTCTGCTCAAAATTGCTACAGAAACAGCTTTCAACGCCGCGGCACTACCACCTCCAGCTCCATCTCTCAATTCATCTTTCAGTGTCCAATTCTACGGACCAACGGTACAATGCAATTTGACCACTTCAGCAGAACAAAAATTGTTTGATATCTTCACCGAAAACTACCAGCGCGAAACCTCAACCTATGTAGCCCAGGATTCCTCATCAGTATACACGGGACAATCATATGATAATTTAATGGTCATGTCTTCTTTCAACCCGACAGCTGACCGTGGCTACAATCGCGCAACCTATATCCTCAACAAGTTTAACAACTGGGAAGTCTCAAATATCACTGGGAAGGTTCCCAACATAAAAGCCTCCCAACTATGGCTGCAGACCGCGGAACAGGCGATTATCTGCAGTGTTGTGAATGCATCCTTTGATGTCAACTTCAATTACACCAACGGTATTGGGCGCGTGACCCATCAGAATATACAGATTCAACCATACACAAGTAATGCCGTGCCTCTACAAACCACAACCTCCGCACTGTCCCTGGATTTCGGGCTGCGCTACGGCAATACTCTTCAAAGTGTCAACGGCAGTAGCGCCGATCTCGAGGAACTGTTCCACTTCGTCCAGGCTGCCGAAGCAACATTCCTTTCCTTGACCAACCTCTTAAATGGCAACGTTACCCTTATCAGCAGTAATTCGAGCTGCCGCCACGATTGCCCTCTTGCCTTCCAGCAAGCAACTTCACGTATCCTGCAGACAGGCCTCATAGCCTGCGACGAACTCGCCAACAACTACTGGTACAGACATTTCGGGCACGGCGATAGTTTTTCCAGCACTTCTTACATGTGCAGGAATCGCACTTTAGATAGAGCAATCGAGGACCTCGCAAACAATATTACTATTTCCACCCTCTCTAGCGCGAACTTCACACGCATATCCACGGGTCGCATCAATATTACCGATACCCAGAACGTATATGTGTATAACCGCACAAACCTCATCATATCTTATGGTGTCATGGTAATTATATCGTTTGCAGCAGTTTGCATAGGCATCGCCTCTTTAATTGAGAATGGGGTGTATCATTACACAAATTTCAGCGCTTTTATGGCCACGACAAGAAATAGAGATCTAGATATCATTGCACGGGGATATTGCTTGGGAGATGTCAAGGAGATTGAGAAACAGAGATTGATGTTCGGAATGCTGGGTGGGGGTGTGGAAGCACGGCATGCTGCGTTTGGGTTGCCGGGGAGTGTGAGTCGGCTGGAAAAGGGGGCGGATTGTTCGTGATGAAAGACGAATTGTGATAGTCACAATCTATGATCAGCTGTTGCCGCCCTTTTCCTCTAAAGCTTGTGTTTATGACCAAGTGTGGACGTTTCAGTTGCATAAGAATGCCCCTGAAACCTAAGCGAGCTCAGCTAGATGGAAAACGCTGATTTACTTGGGTAATGGCTTTTCTGGTCATTCTAGCGACCTCCACTGTACTGCAACCTATGTCTCTATCTGCTCTATGTTTCTCCTTGGACAGCATGATCAATGCAACTGCCATTCCCGCATCAAAGAGGTGAGACTTCTGTATTCGAATGAAGAAGAGCCGAAAGAAAAGCAGAGCTCTACCAGCTTACTAGACAAATACATCTTTACCGAGCCGCTCAGAGAACGCGCATAGGTATTCCACCTACAGAAGCGCTGATTTGGAACGCCATTGGAATCCTAAAGTTGCTCCAGTGCTGTGGAAGTCTGTGTTCATGCATGATTTGACTGATTTCGAGAAATTTCTTGGCAGTCTTTGGGTAGAGTTTTTTCCACAAGTTAAAGGCTGTGTGTAGGGTGTGAGATAAATTGTAACGCATTTCAACGGAACAGAATATGGGTACGTACCTAATGCCTCAATTCTTCGGAAAGAAGACTCCCCAGAGGGATTTTCGCCGGTCATATCGAGGATTCAAGAAGGGGAGGTGGCACCCAAGTTCAAAGTCGGTCGAATGTCAGCAAGGGTTTGATCCAGAGAACGGAGGATAGCTAACGACTAGGGGGACGAGATGTAATTTTGAAAAGATTGTGGTGCGGGAAGCTAGTCCTTTTGGTTTTTAAAATGTGATGGAAGGCAACCAAACTTTCAAGCTGGGAGAAGCCTCACTTTTTTGGTCAGAAACTTCTGCTTTCAGCGTCCTTTACAATTGGTCGTGGCATTCTGGATTAACTGAAATATAAGGAGATATGGTATTCTATCTTCGACTAGACATTTAGAGTAGAGTATGTAATGAGCTCCGGTCAGCGTAGAATTTTACGGTAAACCTTATCATGCTTGAAAAAAAAAAAGGAATTGATACCTCAGAACCTTCAATATCTTGCATGAGGTGGAACAATATAATCGCATATGTCAGTTATCGTGGTATACGATCTACACCTACAAAGCCGGCCACCTGCTAGGAAGATTGTAACAGCGGCGACATATGCGCGTAGTCGTTGAAAGGTTTGGTGGAGGACCACGTGATGACAAGGCTACTGTATCATAATCCCTGCAATCTTTTTTCCTTGGTCAAAAAAAGTTTCCTTTCCGCTTCAGCATCAGCGATATTGCAAGCTGTACAAGGCCAACAAAACAAAAACAACATGGCGAAACGGAAGCGTAATAACAATGGCGAGTCTGCTGCTGTCAATACTGGAACTACAAGCAAGAAAGTCAAGTCAACGGCCCCAAAACCTACGCAAACCTCGACAACCATCCAGATAGTTGCGGGGTCTTACGACCGAGTTCTTCATGGAATTACAGCTACAATATCCCCCAACGACAGGGTAGATTTCGCAGACACCTTCCTCTTCAATGCCCACGACTCAGCAATCCGCTGCCTGGCACTCTCCCCACCGTCCGCACCCGTCCCAAAGCAAACCCAAAAAGTCATCCTCGCAAGCGGCAGCAGTGACGAACGAATAAATCTCTACCACCTCTCCGCACATACCCCCTCTCATATCGCAGCCCCCGCCGTCGGTACCTTGAAAGCCAGTGTTCAGAACTCGCAAAACAAGGTACTGGGTTCCCTGTCACAGCACCGCAGCTCTGTTACAGCGTTGTATTTTCCAACTAGAAGCAAGCTCATGAGTTCGGCGGAGGATAATACAATTGCGGTTACAAGAACGAGAGATTGGAGTCTATTGAGTGAAATCAAGGCTCCAGTACCGAAGCCTGTTGGAAGACCGAGCGGAGATACGGCACCATTGGGTGGTGCGCCGAGTGGAGTAAATGATTTTGCGGTCCATCCAAGCATGAAGCTTATGATATCAGTTGGCAAGGGGGAAAAAAGTATGCGTTTATGGAATCTGGTCACTGGAAAGAAGGCAGGAGTCCTGACTTTCGAGAGGGAGATGTTGGGTCAAGTGGGAGAGGGGAAGTTCAGCAGTGGCGAAGGAAGAAAAGTTGCTTGGGGAGCTACGAATGCGGGAGAAGAGTTTTGTGTTGGGTTCGACAAGGGAGCCCTGATATTTGGCATGGACTGCAAACCAAAGTGCAAGGTGGTCCCCCAACCCAGGGACAAGAAACACCAGTCGAAGATACATCAGTTATGCTACGTCCAAGTCGACGAAGAGAAAGAAATTTATGTTCTAGCTCTTTCTACCGAGGATGGGAGGATACTGTTCTACTCTACGCGCCCAGAGGACTTGACAACAGCCCTACCGGCCGAGAATGGAAGGGATACACCCCTCCCTTCAGCGAAATTGATCGCAGTCGTTGATTCTAAGGATGACGACGAAGGCAAGGATGCCAAAGCGGACGAAAGAGTGCCTCGAATAAAAGACTTTACGGCCATGGTTGTTGGTGAGGGAGCAGAAAAGACTATTTGCATCATAGCTGGAAGAAGTGATGGTGGGGTCAAGGTGTTCAGACTACCTGCATCAGATTTGACGAAAAAGAGCGACGAGGTACAGGAAGTTGGTAAACTGCTTGGGACATATGAGACGGGCAATCGCATAACATGTATAGAATCATTTGTTATGCTGCCTCAATTTGAGGGAGATGATGCACTTGAGCTTGAAGACTTTGAAGGCTTTGACGAAGCTGATGATGTTGAAGAGAACAATAGCAGTAGCTCTGATAGCGAGTAAATGATACCCAAGTTGCTCCAGAAAGAACAGAACACGAGTTGGAAAGGACAATTGAGCGGCCAAGTGCCCGTATTTAGAGTTGGCCATAGAGAGTGAGACCAATTGCAGTTTGAGACAGCGGGCTTACTAAGTGGTAACAAGGCTATTTGACGCATGTTTTCTTTCACTATCGTGTTTATTATTGCTGCATTTGCTTTGCTCATCTAGAACTGCGCAGTCGCTGAAGTACGAAATCGCCATTAGTGAGCTGATAAATGTTCAATTATGTCTCGCGCTGGATATAGATTGTTCTCATATCCGATTTCCGAGCCCCTGAGGCTCATTCCCGGAACTCGCTGGAACCCCCTGATGAAATATAAATTAACACCGACAGTATTTCGCAGTTAAGTCGAAACATCTCCTCCCTCATTGGGTAATGCCACATTGCTTACAAATTCCATAGATCTGGGTATGCTCTTACTTGCATTCATGACGCATCAATGTACCAGCTCTTCTTGGGTGTTCGTAAGAATGGCGTTGCTTAGTCTCACAGGGCTTCATTTTGAATGCCAGCATATTTATCATGCATGGTGTTACACTGGATATAACATTATCACCGTCGAAGTTTTAAGTATAACTTCTAGGCGATCGGCTAATAAGAATCGATTTTATTCCATCGATACCAAATATCACCTGTAAACAAACGTTCCTCTCAAGTCTCTTCTACACGCATATTCCAATTTCAATCAAACCATTAATCAAAACAATGGCACAAAAAGTCCTCCTCACCGGCGCCAATGGCTTTCTAGGCTCCCACATCCTCTCAGAGCTCCTGAAGTCCGGTTTTAACGTCCGCAGCGTTGTCCGCTCCCAAGCCAAAGTGTCCCAAATCCAGCAAGACTTCTCCACATACACCTCCCAAATGGATTTTGCCATCGTCCCCGACATGACCGCTCCCAACGCCTTCGACTCAGCAGTCCAATCCACTCCCCCCCTCACAGCCGTAATCCACCAGGCCTCCCCCTTCTTCTTCGCCAACATCACCTCCAACGCCGACTTCCTCGACCCCGCAATCCAAGGCACAACCGCTTTGCTCCACTCCATCAAGTCCCACGCCCCCTCGGTAAAACGCGTCATCTACACCTCCAGCTGCGCAGCAGTCCTCGACTTCGACGCACCCGTTGCGTCTAACCCGGCAAAAATCTACACATCAGAAGACTGGAACCCGATCACGTACCCGCAAGCTCTAAGCGGAACAAAAGCACACGGCTACCGCGCGAGCAAGAAGTTTGCTGAGCTGGCAGCGTGGAACTTCGTCAAGGAAGAAAAGCCGGCTTTTGATCTCGTTTCGATTAACCCGCCGATGATTTGGGGCCCGGCTGCGCATACCATTAAAAGCATCGCGGAGGTTGGGGAGAGCAATGCTAGGGTTTATCAGCAGTTTGTTAACTCTAAGAAAGATGCGGCGCTGCCGGCGAATGGATTGCATCTTTATGTTGATGTGAGGGATCTTGCGGTTGCGCATGTGAAGGCTCTGACGGAGCCGAAAGCAGGGGGCGAGAGGATTATCGTTTGTGCGAGGGCTATCAGCAGTCAGGGGATTTGTGATGTGTTGAGGAAGAACATCCCGGAGCTGGAGGAGAGGACGCCCGTTGGGAAGCCTGGGACGAATTCGTTGCCTGAGGGGGCATTTGGGGCCTCGAATGAGAAGGCGAAGAGGATTTTGGGGTGTGTGTTTAGGAGTGAGGAAGAGACGTTTGTTGAGATGGGAAAGCAGTTGTTGGAGATTGAGGCTAGGTCTTGAGTGCGACTGTTTCGGGGGTAGCTTGGGAAAGAGATGTGTACTTGGTAACGTTAGAATATAGGAAGAAAATTTGGTTTACGTGTAACCCCTTAGAAAATTGGATAAAGGTTATAGTAGCGCTGCGGCCTGACCCTAATAATACACAAAGAAGTGCTTTTTCCCAAGTTCTGCCCACCTCACCAATTTCGCTGACGAGTTTTATCCGTAGAAAATCCAGTGCTTTTGTCTTCTCGTCCCTGATCCCAAGGAGCCCTCCATCATAAATTCCTAATTCTCTCCATGTTCCAGCCCCTAATCGTCTCCCCGTGCTTGATCAACAAAATAGGAACCGGAACAATTGCCAGCGCCAAAAACGCCAGCAAGGAGTTTCCCCATCCCAATCCTAGCGCCTCATACAATTTAGGCGCAGCAAGCGGCAGCACAGAAGCCATGACCGATCTAATGACAGTATTGGCAGCAAGTGCAGATGCCGCGTAGAGCTCGAAGGCATCTACGGAGTATGACTGTATACTAACCTATAGATGTGTCAGTTGGGAATCCAAAAATCGAGCGAGGCAATCAAGGTCCGAGACCTACGAAAATTAAACAATTTCCCATCCCCATGATGCCCGTCCCTATTATTGGCATAATCCAGTGTATACGTTTCTCCGCACTCCATCCATACCAGAAGAGTCCAACAGGTACCAACACTCCTCCCACAATGCACAGTGGCAGTCTGTACTCAGGCTTCATCTCGCTACTACCACTCTTCTTCGTCATGCGCCTCAATATCTCATCACCTAATCGCGCATAGCCCACCTGGGCTATGAGAAACCCAAGACCGACGCCCAAGTAAGACAAGCCTACAATACTACTGCTAAATCCATAATTATCCTCAAAAACACGTGTCAAAGTAGTAAAAAGGAGGTAAAAATAAGCATATACAAGGCCCATGTAAATCGACAGCGTCAGTACAACAGGGGAATAGACGAGTATTTTGATAGCGCGACCGATACTGTGCTTGAATTGGTCGCCGTCCGACAGGCCTTTGTCGTATTTAGAGCGTAGGCACATGTTGCTAGTAGACTTGCGTAGACGGGCGGCTTTGCGCGCGAGGGGAATGGGAGCGTATGATTCGCGCCAGACGACGAAGCAGAAAATAATTACAAGTCCGGTCTATGGAACACTTTAGTTGGCATCTGAGAAGGGTAGGAGGGGAGACTTACGCCCATGGCTAGTACCCAGAATACCCATCTCCACTGCAAAGTCTCGGGTTAGCGTTGCTTTGTAGATATAGATATTGGCGCTCGGGAGCATTCAGATATCCCAGAGCTCCCGAGACATGCAGTAAAACATTCAACACTCGAAGCCTTATGTATGTGAAAAGGGATAAATCTCGGCGAAGTTACTCACTCCCTTTGCGGCCGAGAGGAAGCCACCGCTCACAGGACCGATCACCGGGCCTAACAGTACACCGAGCGTAAACATTGCCATAGCAAAGCCGCGTACTTCTTGCCGTACCATATCGGCAATAACGCCTCCAGCATTTGTAAGAGGTACAGAGCCGAAGATGCCCTGCATCAACCGGAACCCGATCAACATATTCAGATTCGAAGAGACTCCACATGCAATGGTAAATACTAAGAAGCCCACAAGACCAGTATGCTGTATATATAGCCGTCCATAAATCTCAGACAAAGGGGCAAAGACAATTGGTCCCGTCGCGAGACCGAGTACGAAGATGGTCACGACGAAGGAAGCGAGGGAAGAGTTTGTGGACTTGAATTCTTCCATGAGTGCTGGGACACCTGGAGCGAACATAGAGGAGGCAATGCCGGTGAGAAAGTTGGCTGCACTGACGAGCATGATGTGTGTCCAACGCTTTAAAGAAGGCCAGTTCATTGGGTTCTCGGGATCATCTGGGCCATCCCAGTCAACGATGTTGGTCTCTTCTGTGCGTTTTGGTGGGATGGAGCGAGAGTATATTCTTTGCGCTGCCTCGATGTATGCTGTACCATAGCCATCTGGGGTGCATTTTTCTTGACCAGTTGATATGTCATTTTGTTGAGAGGTGATGGAAGAGACTCGAGTTGAATCTGAGAACTCTTCCTTTGTGTGGCATTTGAAAGTATCTTTCTGGTCCAGATTTTGATTCAAGTCGAGGCTAGATCTTCCATCTGCAATTTCTTTTCTTTGCCGTATTGTGTTCAGATCGTTCGCTTGTTTCTCAGCAGCTAACATCTTGAAGTGCTGGTACGTACCGAAAGTGGAGACTAAATTGCTAACACATGCGGAGTGAAGAGTGGAAGGAGAACTGCGACAGCTCAACGCCTTTATATTCAAGAGAAATACAGACTGTATGTACCTGACTAGTGATACGTTGAAAATAGCACAACTAAACGGAAAACGAAAAGAATAATTAATACCCATACTCTTCTCCTTCACCTGGTTGGCGCTTGCCCCAGTAAGGTTAACTTCGCGATGCATGAAAGTAGGTGTCCGACATTCGACAAGTGGTCAGCAACATGCCGAGTTTAACCAAACCCATCTTAATTTGAGTTCTTTGCAGTTGCAAGCAGGAAGAGTTTCTACATTGCAGATCTCCGGATACTTACTAGCTTCTGACACCTTCACTTCGAGAAATGCCCCTATTGGCGCCACGCAAAGTGGGATTCTCAGGGGTTAGTATCCACGTAAATATTATTTTTATTAATCAGCAGATTCCGCACTCTTCCGCACGCTATAGGGTTTATAGACCATGTCAGTGGCTAACGTTCCGCTTCTTGCTGCACATTGGACTTTGACTTTGTAAGAAGAGTTCTCGAGACACTTCTCACCGCTTGTAGTGATAATTGCACTAGAGCTCTTACTGCCAAATCCGAGCCAGCTAAGAGAGCAGCGGTTTTTCGAAGGAAAGTAAAGCGGTTTTGGTTTAATATGAGAGGGAGAAGCACATGAGAGTCCTGCCAGCGATCAAAATGAATCTGGAAAGCCAGATCATAGCATGCAGGAATTAGAGACGCTAGTGGGCAGGTGTTGTACGAATAAGAGGGTGCTCTCTCTCTCTCTCTCTCTTATTTCAGTACCAAATACACTTTGGCTCCATACCTTCTGTCCCTAGATCTTCCAAGTCCCTAACATCTAACATTCTGTATTTACCGACTTTGACGATGAAAGGAAACATGGAAATCAAGTAGAATGAGGAGGATCTCGAAGAACTTGAATAATACTATGACGCGCCACTTGACTCAAAAACTTGAGGGAATACCCCAGTCGATGGCTAGTAAAAGATTGAAACCATCTCGGAATACCTAATCTGAGTACTTTATTCACGGAGTCTAATGCCACTCAAAAGACCACACATATTCGTATTCTGGATCCGTAGCTTGTGATTGGGGTCAACTGCCCGGGCCTTTCGTACGACAATTGGCTTCAACGCTCTACTTCCACATGCCACGACCTCCTGATACCTACAGCGTACCATCTGCGGCCTTGCGATCTCTGATACCAACGACCCATAACTATATATTCGTGATCTTATATTGGGTCAGCCCCCAAGATGGAGCACCCGGATGCACCTACAACCAGCTTCCGGCGATGGAGCGTGGGATAGTGCGTTCCAATCCCGCCCATTCATTTCCAACGCTTCTCGTGCTATGCGTGGCGTGATACCGTTGCCCGTCATCCCAGACTTCAACTCGTAGCGCAAGTCCCGATTCAAGGCCGACTCGTCTCTGGCTTTGTTTTTGCATCAGTCAAGCCTTTCAGCTCTTTCTCCAAGCCTTCAATCTCTGCTACAGCACCTTGTGAGCACTCAATGTTTATTCTGCCAATGTTCCACAACCGCTCACCAGTCGTCTGCGCCTTAATCTCCCCTTTCTCCAAGTACACCCACCCCCAGTATACGAACTGATATGTAAACGTAGCCATAAGCAGAGTCTTAGCAATTGGCCTCGAGAATGTCTTGTAAAAGCCAATCTGTATCTATTGTTAGCATATCATCCTCTTTCACAAGTAGCTCTGCTCTTACATGTGGTGAGACCTCCTTCTCAGGGACCTGACTGGAATTTGCCCTCCTCTGCATTTGCAGCAACCTAGTATGCCGGACCCTCAGCGTTCTCAAAAGTGAGTTCATCTTGACTGTCGTACAGATTATCTTTGGGCGTGTATAAACAGAGAAGTTCAGACGATGAGGTTTGAAACTTGGGAGCTACCTAGCCTAGCTCTAGCCCCCAACCTTAAATTTCCCTGGCCTGGCTAGCTCCTAGCGTCGGCTGGGAGCCGTCATCCCTGAGCGCACTCTGGCCTCGGGCTAGGGTCGGGACAGCTCTCCTCATTTCTACAATAAGTACAACTTGTCCTCTCTTTTACCTACTCCTGTCCTCTTACAACAAACGCAAATCGGGGAAAGGCATCTACTTCTGCAACAGTAACCGTTACACAAGCAAACACAATGGTATGCTCCTCCACGTTTCTTACAGACATATCGGCGCATTCACTTTACTGGATACGAGACCAAGAACTGACATCAACCACCAGGCGCAAACCCCAGAACAACGCAAACGCAATGCCAAATTTGCCAAAGAGCAGTCGGCCAAGCGGGGAAAGCCGGCGAGTGAGATCAAGAAGAAGCAGGATTTCAAGAGCCCGATTTCGCCCTTTTGGTTGGGTGAGTTTGTCTCCAGTGTCACGGCAGAGGGTTATGGTTGGGGAGGTTTATTGAAGATTGGTGGATGTATGAGGAATCTGATGAGGATATGGGCTAATGTGCTTGTGATCTATAGTTATTCTTGGATTTGTCGTCTTCGGTGGATTGATCTTCGAACTGTTGAGCAGAATCTTCTTTCGGTGAAGAGGCATTGAGGGGATGGGAAATTTAGAGGCATAGATGGGTGGGGGAGGCATGATATCGAAGGCTTTACGAAGTGGAGATCGAGCCAGGGCGGAGTCGAACATATCACGTCTAAATCGACCATGGGCAGGACAGTTGTACTTATATACACTACAAAAGCACGCAGGGAGTTTGGTGGATTTCTCATGGGATTGAATGCAAGGCACTACAAACATTTCTCCGGTCTAAGCTCTTAGGTTTTGCGTGAAGCGGAAGCAAATGATATCAACATTGTAAATTGGGGACTCTGTCCAAATAACAAGACTTTTGATACCTTTACGCGCCCAAACCACGTCTCTTGCCTCCTTGCTCATGCTTCATTCTCACCCCAGCGTCAAACTGTCTCTCCAGGTCATTCTGTACCTTTTCTAGATCTACATCTGCACTCACCTTGTTAGAAGAGCTAGCCCCATTCGACTTGCCGGCCCCAAGGAGTCTCAAAAACTTGTCCTTCCTCGCAGCATCTCCACTCAACGCATCTGGATTCCACTGCTCCGCACCATTCGTTTGTCCATTACTTTCTTCAGTCTTAGCCCTCTTGCTATCCCCATTACTGAAAGAACCCCCCTTCCTCTTCTTCGATGCCTTCGCAATCTTCTCCTGCCTCCTCTCCTCTCGTCTCTCCAACTTCTTAGCCTCCTTCTTGGCAGCATAACCCTCTTTCAACCTCGCCCTCCTTTCCTGCTCAGCCGGATCTGCCCTGCGAGCCTCTATCATTGCCTTCTTCTCCGCTCGCTTCGCCCTCCGCTCCAATTTCTCTTCAGGCGTCTCATCATCCCTCTTTCTATTCCGCTTCAGGATACCAATAGCAGCGAGTGTCCTGGGATTGCCTTCCGCGATGTTCTTCTCGAGCTTGGCTTTGCGTTTCAGGTCAAGCTTCACGCGGTGCTGCTCCTTCTTGACGCGCTTGGCGATGTCTTCTTCACTGACGATGTTCATGTTGATCTTGGGGGCGTTGGGGGGTGGGTTGTACTTCTTGACTTTCTTCTTTTCAGTGGGTTCGGTGGAGGACTTGCTCTTTTTGGCGTCTGGTTGGCCTTCAGCGGGCTCTTCTGCTGAGCGTTTTGACTTTCTGGATTTTGGCGCGGCCTCCTTGATCTCTGCCCCACCATCAGAATCCGAGTCTGAGTCTGAGTCTGAGCTCGAGTCTGAACCGTCGGAGCCATCGTCTTTTTCAACTTTTTCATCAAAACCAGACTCTTCTTCCTCAGTCATCTCCCCCAAAATTTCCCTCTTGGCTTGCTCCGGATCAAAGAGTACACCCGCATGAGCAGCTTGCTTCTTCTTCACCTTTAGCGCTCGGTTGAACTTCTTTTGCTCCTGCTGTTTTCTCCTCAACGCCTTCGCAGTAGCCCTCTTATTCTTCTTATGTCTGTTAATCCTGTCCTGAATTCCCTTGTCATCCAACTCCCACAACGCAATGAAATTCTCCTCTCCCTCCGGAATCGCAATACCTTCTGGAAGCACAGGCTTAGGCGGAACATTTTTCGGGTTCAGGGCCGCGAGTTTTTGCTGTTGCTTCTTGCTCAGCTTCTTCGGCTCACTTTGCGAGTTGAGGATTTGTCCCTGGCGTTCTGGATTCACATTGGGCGGCGGGGCCACGACACCAGCTTCTCTCGCAGCCTTTGCTTCCTCGGACCTCTTCCATGCCTCCTTGCTCTTAACCGTGCCATTCTCAAGAACAATCACCTCGCCACAATTGAACATCTTGCCGCTTGGATCATGCTTAGCAGCTAAACGCTCGGCCTGCCTCACCGCCTCGAAGCGGATCTTGTTGCGCTCTAGGTCGATTGCTCGCTGGGTGTTGCGGTCTTTGTTCTTGTCGTATTTCTCGGTATTTTTGGTCTGCAAATTCAATCATTAATCGGCCTTGCTCTCTTTTAGCTGGGAAGGTTGAAACGCACCTCGCGCCGGTGCTGAGCAGCATTTTCCTTTCGCTGCCTCTTCGCATCTGCTTTTATCTTCTTCTTTTCTTTCTTTGCTGCGAGTCTGATCTGGCGAGCAATTTCTTTTCTCTCCTCTACGCAGATCGTTAGACCAAGTTTTTTTTAACGCTCAAGCAACTGGACAGGGCCGTACCTTTTGTCGCGCCAACAACTTTAGGAGGCCGAAAACCCTGAACTTGTTCTCCAGTGTCGAAGGCTTGCTTTTCGCCCACATCCCCAAGGGAAATGTAGTTTGTGTCCGCCATGTTTGCGGTGGATTGGCACTTGGAAGAAAGTTGAAGTTGTGGGGGATAATGAAACCGCGGAGTCTCAGAAATTTTATGGCCACCAGGGCTACGATAACGATAAGAAATCCATGGTCACGTGCAGACCCTCATTTTCAAACCAGTCAGTTCGGTCAGTGCAGTTTGACTGGCTTTCGAAGGCTACCTACTTATAACTGCTTGGAAAGCCGCAGCAGATTCGATGATTTAGTTTCGCCAACAGCAAAGAAGATAATTAAGATGGTTGGTAATAAATACTATGCCATCATCTCAATGAAGACTGTTCTACTATCGTACCTTTATGCCCTTCTAGTGTCATACTTGCCATGCAATGCTCCTTGCGCCAGGGATTCCCACCCTATATGCTCCGTCATGAACCTTCTTGTACAGCGTGTTCTTCCTCAACCTTGGGCTTCTTTTTCTTCTTCTTAGGCTTTACGACTTCTGCCGCCATGGAAGAAGTCTCTCCCTCGCCTTCATCTGTAACGGCCTTCTTAGCTTTCTTTTTCTTCACTATTAGCACTGCACCATCGGCATCAACAGCCTTTGGCTTTTTCTTCGTCTTTTTCTTGACGACAGTACCCTCGAGAGACACTCCCTGAGCAGCTTGTATTCGCTCGTTAGCCCTTTGCATCTCCAATCGTAAACGCTCAACTTCTTTCATCGCTTTTGCCATCTCGGCTTCTTCTCGCTGTTGGGCCTCAAAGTCGTCCCGCCCATTACTAGACCCATCACCTTCAAGAGAGAATGCGCCAATGTGACTTGAATCGACCTGGAGCAAAGAATGCTTCCCTTTTGGTTTGGGTCGCTGAGAAGCTCCTTCGAGACTTGCTTCTGAATCATCATTCTGTGGTGTTGAGATCCCGCTGGTCCCTAGTGTTTCATCCGCGGCGACTTGGATTCTGTGGCGGACTTTTGAAACTTTCGATTTCTTTGGTGGGGATGTGCTCAATTTTGTCTTCTCAAGGTCTAGTTGCATTATCGGGATCGCATCTAGATCTAGATCGGGCCCATTGTTGCTTTGAAGGATGTTATGTAGTGGCGTCGATCTACCAGAGCTCTCGGTAGGTGCAATGTAAAATGGATCGTCTTTGTTCCTCTCAAGTCGTTCGGCGCGCGCCGAGCAACGATGTCGGGATCTAGATAGCTCTCTTCACCCCCTTGCTGATACGAGTGCACGACTTCCTCTGGAGTGCCAAGGCGGTTGATGGCGGGTTCATTCACACTCGGTACTGGAAGTGGAGCTTGATGATAGTAGCTCTCGAACTCATCCTGGTCTGGCTCATCGAATGATGCCGATTCCACAGCCCTCAATAAATTATTTAGATTCAGATTGATTGGTTGATCCAAGTCTAACCCATTGGGTATTGGCACGTTCTTCTGTGCTCCTACAGCCACGGAGTTTAACTCCACCCCTGTAAACAATGATGGGATTGCTTGTGTCAAGAGTAAAGGCGAATCTTGTTGTATGTCGTCTGTCGATGCAGCTTGGCCGGCCGATGCTTCAGCGGCTAATCTTAAGAGTTCGGCAAACTCAACTGCTCTCTCTTGAACTTCAAGATCAGGATGCATCGCAAGTGGCTCAAGCGTATGGATAACCCGGGCCATGAGGAGTGATATCATAGTCTTCCGTTCTGGTGTCCACGCCACAGAATCATCGCAGGTTAGGAAAGAGAAAACCTTCGGCAAAGCCTGTAGATATATCACAAGCCCTTCGGCAGGAACCGAGCCCTTTGCTATATTTAAAAGCGCGCCCAAGGCGGCGTCCGGAGACTCCAATGAAGACGCATACTCCCCCACCATCCAGGCTATGGGTCTTAAGGCTCCATTCGCTGGATTCAGTGATGCAGAATTGTCGTCAAAGGTCGAGATTAGTATCGACTCGGCGGCTCTTGCAGCTTGTAGCCGTACAGCTTTGACTTTCACAGCGACATTTCGCAGCTCATTGCCAACTTTCCCCGAAACATCAGTACTAGACGAATCACCCCGTCTTGAGTCCACGCCATGAGACAAGTATGACCGTGAGACTGGAGAGTTTCGAACCAGTTGAATTAAAATATCGATGTACCAGTCGAAATCTACTAAGTGGCCGTAATTGTTGCTAGAACACATTTCCAGTATTCTATTGATAACATCGATCTTGTACTCATCCGGAAGAAGGGTTTCTTGGGACACCCTTTTGTCATTCTTAATAGCAATTTCCGGGTCTTCATCATCTGAGTCTGCTGCAGGTTGAACCATTCCAGTGGAGACTCGTTTGTTGACTTCCTCTGATGTAGGCGAACGCGAATTCCGTAGTTGTCTCATCAATCTCCCAACAATCGACATGAGGTTATCGTTACTAACCATGCCGACCACTAGATCCAAAGCTCGCAACCGAATGGAAATATCAGGACTGTCTATACAGTCCATGATAACATCCTCTTGCTGGGCAACAAGGAATGGATGGGTTACAACGATTTTGTTAAACGCCAATAGAGCAACGTATTTCACTAGAATTGGTTAGTAATGGTGTTCTAGTTCAGATCAAGAGAGCTTACAATTGGGGTCTCCTTCAACCATAATCATTCCCCGAAGTTTGCTTACGCATAGCGTCGCTATTTCCTCACCTCCTGCAGATTCATCACTACTTCCCAAAATGCCACCTTGTATGATGCCATTTATACATTCATACAAGAGCGACATGGCAGGAGTCGTTCGGATGATGGTGGTCAAAGGGGGTAATAACTTCTTGACTAGCCGTGGTTCAAGCGGAGTCAGAGTAGCAAACTGGGAATATTAGCAATAGCTGAATATTCATTGAAAAGATACTGACAAGTTTGATCAACTTTATAGCCATCCAATTATTGCCGCTATCTACTAGCAACTCAAACAGCCTTGGCGCAAGAGGCAGGAAATCATGAGGCCTCCGCCATCCCAACTCACAGACCACATTTACAATTGCACTTGTCACACTTGGGTCTTCACCCTCATCCATCAGCCGTTCTTTTATTTTAGGCCATGCTGGCCGTAGGGTTTCCGGGTAGACTAGCGCGAGGCGGTACAGTGTCACAATAGTCTTCTTTCGTATCGTTGGATGCGAGTGAGTTAATCGTGGGAGGAGGTCCGAGAGCACTGAAAGAGCTAGAGAGGGGGTTATTATATGCGGGAGCGTTATAATCGGGAGGGACATGGTATTCGCAGAGGTCGAGGTTAAGTCCTAATCCATTTTCAGCAAGCCCTTCTAAAAAGCTTCCAAATATCCCTACCTTCTTCAGTAAATTTGTTGCCAGCATCAAAACTTCTGTATCTGGCCTGAAGCTCTGCACCGCCCCTAGATATCCCACTCGTTTTTGTAGATACTTCGCGGAAGACATAACCTCGAGGACGTGAAAAGACGCCCATGACATATCATGGCCAAACATTTCGAGGTATATGAGTTTCAAAAGAGCAGTGGCCTTGAGGTCTGCAGACGTTCGTTAACCTTTGCGCAAATCTCCTTGCATATCACTGACCCATATCCTGCCCTTTGATTTCTGCCCGGCATTCTTTTAGGCTATTCTGGATATACTCTTTCTCATTCCCCTTGTGATTCCGTAACCCCCGGATGAGGTCGTAAAGACTTTTCTCAAACCTAGTATAGTATTAGAGGAAAGGCGTGCACAGCGGATATGGGAAAGACATACATGTTGATGCGGCTTGATCCAAGCTTCCACTAGAGCCGTTATTTTGGTGAAATGTTCTATGATGAGTCCAGCGACAATGCGTAGGACTAGAGCTTGGTTTTGAGCATCTTTCAATACTATTTGGCGGTTTCAAGGCCTATGTGGGGGATGATGAGGTGCCCACGAGCTTCCCCCACCATTTCAACTGGGATATAAAAATGTGCTTGTGGTCTCTAAAGATCACGTACAACAACCATACTATATTCATACTCATATTGTCCGGGGAGCTTCATCACAGCGCTCGCTGTCCTGAACATTATTGTATCTACTGTTTCAATCCACAATACTTCCACTATCTCTTGTTTCTGTACATAAATCGCCATGGCTTCGTCTCTACTCCATCCACCTGCGCATCTCTCCCCTGCCGTCGCGCTCCAGCTGTCACAACAAGCTCCCTACTTATTGCGAACTACCCCATCCGCCATATCTCCATATTCCATGAGTTCGCTTTGGTCTGCTGCCGAATCTCCAGAGTTATGGACGACATACGAGAACCTTATGTTATCCTGTCTGCGCACCGGCGACGAGCAATCTGCGCATCTATGCTTGGAAAGGCTCACAGAGCGATTCGGAGCCGATAACGAAAGACTAATGGCGCTGCGGGGCTTATTTCAAGAAGCCATAGCGAATGACAACGATGCTCTTAAGAAAGTACTGAAGGAATATGAGAACATTTTGGTCGAGGATCCAGCCAATATGGTCAGCATCTGCGGAAACCCATTTGTTGACTGTTCGCTAACCCCCTCCCCCATAGCCTGTATCGAAGCGTCGTATTGCGCTCCTCATATCCATGGACAGAACAACGGAAGCTATTACTGCTCTTAATAATTTCCTTGACGCGTCTCCTACAGATGCTGAAGCGTGGTCGGAATTATCGGATCTGTACGTGTCTAGCGGCATGTTTCCTCAGGCAATCTTTGCCTTAGAAGAAGTCCTGTTGGTCACTCCAAACGCATGGAATGTGAGTGTCAGCACCGAAGCCCCCCAACGAACCGACTCTGACTGATGAATATAGATTCATGCTCGGCTCGGGGAAGTCTTGTATATGGCTTCTTCCAGCGAAACTGGATCTGTTCAGCACCTCGCGGAATCAATGCGAAGATTTTGCAGAAGTATCGAACTGTGTGATGATTACCTTCGGGGCTACTATGGGTTGAAAATGGTATGTGGTTCCACTCAAGCTCGACGGTTGCCTGTCCTATACTAACGCGACATAGACCACGACAAAACTCCTGACAACACTCTCTCAGTCACAAGTGTCGCGGCAGTCAAAATCAGACACTGGGCTCCCATTACCAGGCGTCAAGAGCGTAGAGCGGCTCAGTGAGTTAGCCACAGCAAAACTGTCAGAAATTGTACGGAGGAACACTGGTGGTGACGCTGGATGGCAAGGATACGAGAAGCCTGAAATAATTGCCGCTCAAGAATTGTTGAATCGCGACGCAGCACCAATCACGAGGTGAAATCCCTTGAGCCCAAATTGGAGCATGCAAGGCACAGATTCTATCTTTGTCTATCATGATCCATCTGGTTGTACAGATCCAATGCCCAAGGGTCTGGATTCATCTCCGACATGGATCTTACTTGGAAGGTCGAAGTTTTCAATTTTCTCACCATATTATTGACACCCACCTGGACCTGATCTGCCTTATTTTTAACCGTTGTCAAAGTGCGGGTTCTCCCGCGTGCCGCGTTGGGCAACCGAGAGCCAATCGTGGAATATTGGGCTTGTAAGTAATGGCATAAGTCGGGTTTCTTGGGCAGCAAGTGGGGGGTAAGGCGCACGAAAATTGGTCAATGATATTATGGGAGATGAGGAAAGGGGAGGCTCTTTCTTGCAGCTTGACAATCTAGCCTCCGCGATGACTCCTCGATACTTCCTGGGGACAACGCAACAGCAGTGGGCCGCTCTCCCTACAAAGGAGACACCGAGTATGAATGTATAAGAGCGAGAGACACGCGGTCGAAGTAATAGTTCGAGCGCATACATACCCAAGGCATTTCTTCCACATTCCCAATATAAGCAGTAACACACACACCCAATCCGTAAAGGTTTCTTGATGTTGTGACCCCCCCTGTAGCCATGTACCGCCGTCCACGCATTCGTCCCTTCAGCAACAGAAAAACATCACGACCAGGCAAAAAGAAGTGAAGTAACACTACATGCACACATCTCACAACTACACCACACTACATATTTCGCAAACAGATACATTACGTATACTTGCATACATTTGCCGCCGCAAACCATCATACCTACGCGCGCAATTCATTGCAGTTCGTCTATCTCTACTGCAGCATCTTGCTTGCTCTGTAGAACATCGTTCTTAAAATCTCTAGTCCTTCCCGCGGTCGCATACTGTGACCTTCTCTGGCCGCCGTTCTGGTGCCAGTGCCAGGCTCGTTTCAGGACCTCGTGAGCTCCGAGCGGAGTAAGCTCCTCGGTTCTCTTTCACGTCTCATGAACTATTAAGGTATGCCTAACCGTCCATTCGTTCGTCAGATCTCCTGTTTCCTGTTTGAAGTGTGGCGGCGAAGACCAAAAGGGGACGGAGACGGAGCAGGAGGCTTGCAATGAAGCAGACCAAAGCCCATCATTCTTCCCTTTCGGGCTTGCCTCTCGCACGGGCATTGCCTGTGTTGTGCTCCTTGCCTTGACTACTTGGCTTGTGCCCGCTAACGCACCCCTCTTTCGCATTTTCCAGATCCATTTTGCCCGCCAACACACCCACACCACCACAAAAAACACCGAGAGGCATTTGTCTGCACCTAGCAACGAGGATCAACAATCTGCCCAACAATCTGCCCTCGTACCCTACCCCCCCAAGTGAGGCAACAAACCTGGTTCTACGAGCCTCATCGACTGCGATCAACACCCTCCATCAGCACCACTCGCCAGTCAACACTAAAGAAAACAAGCGTCGCTCCGGCCCGCATTGCGCCAGACAAAAGCAGCTGCTCTAGTCAAAAATACACCGCCTCGTTCTCTCTCGCATTTCATATCAACTTGACATTGTCCTCTTGCGCCGAGGTCAATAAATCTTCATCGACGCTCACAACAACACTGCGCTGCATAGCCAAGTGTCGACAGCCGGCGCCTACGACGAATTTTGGACGGCGACAAAAGGGGGCGATTTGCCCTTACATCCTATACCCCACCCAATACCCCTTGGATTATCCCGCCCGACTCTTCTCTGGTAGAAAGTCGTGAGCGGCGATAATATCCATACGCACAAGGGACCCAATGCCGTAAGTGTGCCTCTTCTCAATCGTTCTCACGAAATCTTAAGAGTCATTGCTAATGCCTTGCCCAAAGTAGCACAACGATTACTATCGAGGTATGGTAGCTCCCTTGAAGTCTTTCTTTGTCAACTCTGCATGTTTTCCTCCTATATGCTCAGAAATTCGAATGCCCCATACTACAACCGTCTAATTGGAATGCGGGGAGGGTAATTGTTTTTTGGCTGCACTAGCGAAGAACCCCTCGATTGCCTAGAATAAATATATGGAAGTGAGGGGTTCACAAGCCTTGCTTGTAGTCTAGCCCTCAATTATCTAACCCGAAATGGGCGTCGAGAATGTCATTTCACTCAATGCGCACTTGCCAGCAATTGACACAACCCTTACCTCATGACATAATGTTTATACTAACGCCTTGATAGCAACAAAGTCCATCTAATAGCTCCTCTCGCTCGACCTCGCGGTCAGCAGATAGCTATACCGACGAAGAAGGGTCAGGAGTGCGAGTCCCGTCAAACTATTCTGAAGACCTAGACGACGACGAAAGCTGGGACCGAGTGTACGACGCCGACGAAATCGAGCCTTCTGATTCTGCGTCCCGTCCAGCATCCCGCCCCCGGGCACCAAGATATAGCGAGAGTCGACCACCTCCTGTTTCTCGACCAACTCGCCGACACACTACTACTGAAAAATCAGCTCGTCGACCAGTCACGCAGCGCGTTCATCGGCACCCTGCGCCGGTACCACCCTCAAGCGTGGAGCCTTTAGAGGACTTTCCGGGCTATGGCCGAGGATACCCACCACCGTCTGGAGCTTACGGTGGCAGAGGACCTGGGCCAGGCTATGCCCAAAGCTCGTATTCAGGACCTGGTGGGGGAGGAGGATATGTCCCCCCTCCTTTTGGCGGAGCTCCAGGTGCTTTGACTCATTATGGACCACCTAGTGGCTACCCCTACGCCACTCCTCCAGCAAATCCATTCTCCCCTCAAGCTCCAACTCCAGGTCCGCCAGGAGGTGGATACTTTGGTCAACCAAGTCATCACCACCCCATGTCTAGCCACAGCGGCCCTGGCGCTTACGGTGGTGGGCACGATATGATGGCCTTTCAACAACAACAGCAGCATGGCTATGGTGGGTTTCCTCAATATCCCCCAGGTATGGGACCTGGAATGCCTGGCATGTCTTCTCCGCACCAAATGGGCGGTTACTACCAACCACCACTACCACAGTGGCCTCCTAGGCCTCCTAGCGAACCATCCGTTGTAGCAGATCCTGAGACCGAGAAGAAGCTACTAGCGATTGAAGAACTCATGAAAAACCAAAAAATTGACTTTGAGAAGGCCACAAAGGAATTGGCAGATCGTGACGCAAAGGAGGCTTCTGAAAAGGCCGCCGCCGCTGCAGCTAAGAAGGCGGCGGAAGAGCAGGCCGCATGGGAGGCAAGAATTAAGGAGGAAAAGGACAAGCTAGAAAAGCAGCTAGCGGATGAAAAGGCAGCGTGGGAGAAAAAGGTCGAGGAAGAGAAGAAGAACGCGCAGGCTAAGGGCGCTGAAAACGCAAAGAAACAAATAGAGGCCGACCGGAAGAAGGCAGAGCAAGCTGCTGCAGATGAGAAGGAGAAAGCGGACACCATTGCCAAAATTAAGCAGTTGACCGAAGACGCTGCTGCCGAGGCTAAAAAGTTGAGAGAAGAGGCAGCTGCGGAGCAGAAGGCAATCAAGGAGCAAGCGGCGGCAGAGGCCGAGGCACTTAAGAAGGAAAACGAGGCCGCGTTAGCAAAGGCGAAAGCACCAGACGAAGACAAGAAAAAGCCCATCAAGTTCAAAGACGCGGTAGGAAGAAAATTCAGTTTTCCATTTCACCTATGCGCGACTTGGACGGTAAGTGTTGTCGCTCCCCCTTTTTCCTCGCTTAACTAACACTTTTTTCAGGGAATGGAAGAATTGATCAAGCAAGCCTTTGTGCACGTGGAAGTCATCGGGCCTCATGTTCAGGATGGTCACTATGACCTAATTGGACCAAACGGGGAAATCATCCTCCCACAAGTCTGGGAGACGATGATCGAGCCGGATTGGTCAATCACCATGCACATGTGGCCTATGCCTGAACCTCCCAAACCTGCACCACCCGCTCCTCCTCCCGGCATGTTCGATGGCGTTCCACGACCTAGAAGTAGACACGGGAACCACGGTGCTCCTCACGGCGCTCACGGCGGACACGGCGGACGTCCTCCCCCTCCGCCACCAGCAGGGCACAGAGGTGGACCGCCGCCGCCCCCTGAGAACTGGCAAGGAGGCCCCCCTCCACCTCTTCATCCTCCGGGCGCTCGAGGTGGTCCTCCTGGTGGACCACCCATAATTGTCATGCGCCCCGGAGATGCACCACCACGGCCTCGGAAGAAAACAGAGCCAGCTACCGCAAAGGGAGTCCTAGGGTGGATGGCCGGGGCGAAGACAAAGTCGTCGGGAAAAGGTACGTTCCCCTCTTATTTATATGAACAAATGGATAGCATTCTCACAAATCTGACAGCACGCAGGCCCAAAAAAACCTGAACCTAACGCTTGTAGCGTGATGTGAACAATTCACCAACACATCAAATCGATTGAATGGAAATCAGACGAATGAACTGGCAGCTGCCGTCATGAGGAATGGCTCGGAACCCCTATCCCCACTTCACTTATCAAGTCACATGGGCGGAATTGTCTTTTATTTCTTTGTTTTATAGGAGGTCGGTTTTTTGTGAGGGTGGATATCACATGTTGTTCAGGGAGGCAGTCTTTTTCCCAGCTCGCAAGGTTGGGTTTTATCTGTGCTCAAAAAGGAGGGATATGGTTGTCTTTTCTTTTCTCAAATGTTTCATTCCATGTGTCTTGTCTTATCGTCGGCGAAATTAGCGTTGGTTAAATAGGGATACAAATCTGCGTTGCGATTACATTGTTCGACGCACAAATCGGAGCACAAGGGGAAGATGGTGCCGGGGCGGGATTGGGGGGAGGGGGCGCTTTGGGAAATTTAGGCGCATACTTAGTTTAGTCTGCATAGGCTTGTGGTTTGCATTTGCATTTGCATGTCTGATATACCTCATAGATCGTTTATTTGAATAGCAAGCAAAACGTTTTGAAAAGACACATTATTCTCCTGTTAAGCTCGAGCATTGTTTTCGTGAAAGGGAGAGCTTGCTGGTGTTTACCGAGCCGATATACTCCTATAAATGTTAGCCAACGATCCCCTAACCGCCATCCCTTTCGTCAACGCGAACATCATCCACCAAGTATAGTATAACATATTATTATTAGGCTTAAAGGCTATAAAGAATAGCTAATAGACCAATTCTAAAATAACTTCAAGGACCTTACGGAGTCTGTGAATGGCAGCGTCAGAGGAAGTTTAGCGTGTCTGAATAGAGTTGGCGCGTCTGTTTCCTCGCTACAATGAGAAATGCTACCTCCCTAGATAGGTACGTTCTGTTTTGCCATGTTGAATAAGTTTTCTTTTAGGAAAGAAAGCAGCTGAGGTAGTCTCGAATTGAATCTCGGGAGAGGATAGAATTTGGGGGTTGGGTTAAGCGGTGACGGTACAAGTAAGGTTTTAACTCCCAGGCTCAGCTTAATTAATTACTGCAAGAGTCACAAGCAAAACAAGCAACCAAGCCTCTCCTTCGCGTACTTCTCTCGCTCAACTCGACCTTCAGTCATGCAAGCGAATTTATTAATCTCTGTTCGCTCCTAGCTATGAAAAAATGGTCGAATACTGCTTTTTCTTTTCTTTGTAAAAAACACCTGACTAGTGAACCCAGTGGAAAGTGTAGTGTGAAGTGTAGTGTGCCAGTTTTATTTCTTATTAGGAGCTGAAGTAAGGGCGAGGTGAGGTGAGGTCTTTAAGGTGTGGTGGGGTGAGTTGGGGGTGGAGATTTCGGATTCAATCAGATGACGTAAATTGGTTCAGGTAGTTTAATAGATATTTCTGGTTCAAAACATTCTAACTGGCCTGCTGGCCCAATGGCAAGGCGCTTGACTACGAATCAAGAGATTGCAGGTTCGATCCCTGCGTAGGTCAAAAGATCACCAGTTGATTACTTTTTTTTTCATTACTTTCATTGAAAATAGTAAATGACCTTTTGTTAGTTTTGATAGGTCCTACCCATTTTTTTTGCGCATTTTTTATGAGAAAATATATTTACACTAAACTTGACTTCTAGTGGAATAGGCTTAGCGTTCATCGGTAAGGTATGACTCCAGATCATGACTGCTATAATTTGTGTTAGGCACTCGAATCATGGTTTTGATGTTGTTGCCGCTACAGGTCGCGAATATTTCGCATAGACCTTTAATATCATGCATTCTTTGACTAACACTCCCAATCACATGTCTACTGCTTTGGAAGCTTCAAGCCGTGCGCGGAAGTACCTCTCTAACCTTCCAGTCCAGACGAGATTGACGAATAATTTCTCCCTGCAGCTCTTTCGGATATTCCTTCAAAATCTTTCTGAGCTCTTGTTTCCACCAGCTGTTATCATAAAACGTGTCTTTGCATGTTGTCATAGCTGTTGTGTATTCCCAATGCTCAGGAAAGAATCCGGCCATCTCGAAATCAATCCAAGCAACTAACTTTTGTCCTTTGACAAGGAAGTTTCTGCTATGAGCATCTCCATGGGTGAAACGGATTTTGTGATTCCTTGTGTCTTGAGTAGCAATCATCTCTGAGACCTCTTCACGCGCCTCGTTGTTTTCGAATCGTCCGGCAACGGGTATAAGCTGGCTAGTGTCAGTGACACCGCACCGAAGAAAGTTGTTGAAGTCTTTTTCGTTAGCGAAAGGCCCAAATCCACGCCCGTGTTTATCCATCCGACGGTCGAAAAGCGGCCCTATATCCACTGAACAGATAGCTCCTGGACGAGGATGAGGAATGTTTTGTAGTTGTGTGAAATGTTCCTCGATCTGTTTTAGAAGTAACTCCCGCCCAGCTAGTGTTGTCTTCCCCCAAACGTCTGAAAGACGCTTTCCTTTCACAAATTCCATCAGAATAAACCGCATTCCCCTATGCTCAAATGCACAGTAAACCTTGGGCACTGGAATGGATGTTTTTTCGGCAATGAAATGAAGGGTGGAGGCCTCGGAAAGTTGTATCTCGGTGCCATATTTCATGACCATGGGGAATGGAGCTCTGATCAAGATGATTTTGCTCTGAATCATAGGGGTCGGTTTATAATGGAATAAGCCCGCGATGTAGGCCGATGCGTAGGCAAAAGCTCGCAGATGACAAGTTTTCAAAGATTTAGAACGGTATAACGGCGAGGTTCTTGGTAGATCGATGGTTGCGCCTGCATAATAGGGTACAGTATAGGGCAGATCAGAAGGGCGTAGGTTGGCGTAATCTAAGTCAGCCAATACTCTGGGTGTTTTCTCCTCTGGCATTTCGGAAGGCGATGGTCTTGGGGGTTGAACCCTACCGCTGGGAAACAATTTGGAGAGCTTCATTGCGGAAAGCAAAGGTGGTGAAGTGATTAGATAGGCAAACGGTAATGTGCAAAAGCTAACAGCAGAGCAAGATCATATGTCTGAGAGTTCAAAGGATGTTGCTGGGTGAATGTCCGAGATGACTGGATTATTGCGTGGTGCAGCGCTCACAAAGAGAGAATGAATCACAGTGTTGAATGTTGAGCAACTTTCAACAGATGATCAACGGTTTGAGGAATGACTCTTGGAGGGAAGTGGTGACACCGGGCAGATGCCTTAGATCCTTGGCTTGGCGAAAGATTTCTTCTCGTGCTCTCGATAGTGCCATCAATTTACAATGAGATGCGTTAATAGGGAGAGGATAGGCGGCGCCGTTTCTGTATTCGTATGCGTTGAAGATCCAATAATATAACAGGCGTTTCAAAGTAGTTCTTCCAAGTACATCAGGTAGACAAAGTTCAAGGCTCTTTGGGTGAAAAACCTCAAAGACTTGCAGGAAACTAAATGCGGAAAGTGGCTCAAACAAGTTTCTCAAATTCGCAAAACACTTGTACTGGGATTTAAAAAGTGGGCTTTGACAAGACTTTTACTGTTTGCGCTGCTTCCGCCACCATTCACCGGGGCGTTGGAGATCGGATCACTATTGAAGAATCAGCGCTGGCTATTTCTCTAGTAGTTGCTATATGCTCTTGAAGTTCCCTTAAACGGATGGATCAAGTATCATATTACTTTGAACGTAGAAATGTAATCCTTGAGATCGAATAAACATTAGACATAGAGGATGAGGGTAAAGATAGAAAGTTCACTAAAGAAGGTTTTATAGGTTTATGAAGATTCCGTTTTCGGCTGCTTTAGCAGTTAGACGGAGGCCTGTAGCAAATTGGATTCCTGTGATGGTTCAGGCTTTGTGGAGAATTGAAATGGTAATATTATATTGAGCATTGATAATGTAAACTCTAACACGTGTAGTGGTGGACGGTCGATCGAGGGTAGAAAGGGGGGCGGATCATGTGGGTGAAGACTAGGTACCTAAGGCATACGAGTAATACGAGTAGACGCAACAATGCCAGACCTCAGCTTAACATGCTTGCTATCTGTGCATATATCGGTATTATGTAAAGAGCATTCCATATTCACATCACAGATTACTTTGGTAATGCAAGTCTTTCATTTCTCTATCTTTCTCTTCCTTTCTCTAATCTACCAGCAATGATTCGCTAAATAAGCAAGCTCAAGAAGTTCAATAATAGCAAACTCCCACAAACCCAGCTTTCGCGACTGTCTAATAACCAGCCAGTCCTAGTCCTGTAATCATATAAACCTCCCAGATAGTTGCAAAGAGCGCTAAAAAGCCAATGGTAAAAAAGAAGAGAAACCTTTCATAATAAAACATGTACCCTTGCCTTCCGGCCGCTATCCGCGGGCGGTAACGAAATGAATCACAATGATGAGCGAGGAATATGGGAATCGTAGTGTGGGCCACCATCGAGATGACTGTGGGATAACCCGACAAGAATGTAATAAGATTTGGGCACTGTACTCAATTTCCACGGAACAAGAACTGCATATCCTCCGGAGTCAAACTCTCCATTGCACTCTCATCAGAATTGATGGTGGAATTGATCATGTTGGCCTTCTTCTCCTGAAGCAGGACCATTCTGCTCTCGACAGAATCCTCAATGCACAATCGCGTGATAGAGCAAGGTCTAGCTTGTCCAATACGATGGCAACGATCAGCAGACTGCCACTCTGCAGCTGGGTTCCACCAAGGGTCGACAATGAACACATGGGAAGCCTCGGTCAGGTTAAGAGCAACGCCGCCAGCCTTGAGAGAAACAAGGAAGCATTCAACATTGACATCGGTCATGAAGTGATTGATAGAAGCCTGTCTTTGTGCAGGTGTCATGGAGCCATCAAGCATGACAGTGGTGATACCAGCACGACGAAGCCGCCATTCGACTAGTTGAAGCATGGTAGTGAATTGACTAAAGATGATTGACTTTGTGGTCCTGGTTTTCGATCGCAGTTGCCAAATGTCATGAACGAGAGCTTCAATCTTAGTGCTGCTAGTCCAGTTTTCCATCTTAATTCGGTTGATGATAGATGACTTCTTAACCATTTGCTCGTCCTGTTCGATATCAGGTTGCTCAAGATCAATACTGAGAGGGATGTGACATTGTGGACAGTCGGGCTCATCTGTAGATTATTAGCAAATCTGAAGTTGAAGAGGCGATGGAGGTACAAACCCGAAGAATTGAGGTAGTTTTTGGCACACTCGCGACAAAATTCGTGACGGCAAGAAGATCTAATTGCTTCTTCTGCAGTCTCGTCACAGATGCAGCAGACAAGTATGTTTTGACCGCCTTCGGTATTCTTTTTCAAGATGAGATCCGGATGGTCAGCGACTTGACGCATCTGCATAATCAGACCGAAGATGTTGGCGTAATTGTTGAGCAGAACACCTTGAGCGACGTATGTTTTGAACTTTCTGGCACCGTTGTTCATGATACTACCAGCGAAATCGTTCTCCTCTTCGCCAAAGAATTGACGGTCGACATAGATCTCCTTAGTTGGCAGTTCCATTGCTGAGGAATGATCACGCTTTACACGACGAAGCATGAATCGATCGGTAAGGATTCGAAGTTTACGGAACGCTTCCTTTCCAGGTCCCTTGTTACCGAACTTCTGGATTGGATTGAGAAGTTCTTGGTTGAAAACGGAGACATGCTGCATGCCACTGTGAAGACAGCCCGAGCAGCGATTGTTCTCATTCATATCCCAATTTAGAGTCGAGCAAGGACATTGCTTGCAGAAATAGCAGGCGAATGGCTTGATATCAAGAAAGCGAACTAGAGAAAAGAATTCACCAATACGATTCTGAAGGGGTGTTCCGGACAAGCACCATTTGTGGTCCGCCTTTAGAGCGAAGCATGCTTTTGCTGAGCCAGTGGTGCGTGACTATACATTGTAAGACTGTGACCAAACCAAACTAGGGACCGACAACCTACCTTGATGTTGTGTGCCTCGTCGAGAATGACACGATGGAATTGAATTTGATGGATGATACTCTCCTCTTTGTGTAATCCGTTTTTGCGCTTGAAGCCTTTTTCCTGCTTGCGGTACATGGACTCAAGACTGTTGTACGACATGAGAATAACATGATACTTCCTGAGATCATCGAGGGTGGCCCCTTTGGTATGCGCATTGGTGCCGTGGTAAACAAAAGTCTTCAGGGTTCCATCAGTGTAAGCAGCAATTTCTTGTTGCCATTGCATGAGCGCGACTGGGGGAATTAGGACAAGGGATGGTTGAGCAGCGGGGAAGTCGGACATGATCAATGAGACAGCTTGAATGGTTTTACCCATGCCCATCTCATCACCAAGTAAGCCTCCACCCCAGTCCGTCTTCTCCATAGCCTTCATCCAGGCGACACCCTCGAGCTGGAAGGGCTTCAGCTCGCGGTTGATGTTCTTCGGCTGCTCAATCTTCACCGATCCAATCTTTGGCAGATTTTCAAGATCTTTCCACATGGTTTGGAGCTCAGGATGATGCGCTTCGAGACGAGCACGTTCCTGTCTAGACCTACGACTCACTCCTGTGTCATGTTCGGCTAGGTTGATCCTGTGACGAGCGCTTCCACGAGGACGAGATCGAGGAACTACAGAACTTGACGGGCCAGCTGCAGCGATTGGAACACCATCAGATTCTGAATCTGATTCAAATACACTGGCTGATCCTAAGTCTGAGACATCAAAATCACTCTCCGTAGTAGGAAAATGGTTGGAGAGGTTGGTGAGGCTAGAGCTAGTCGAAGCTGTTGTGTCTTCGCGTTTCATGGCGGGTGGTTTTCCAAGCCTCACGTTGGTGTTGCGAGGGCGATTGGCTGGAGGTGGCATCATCTTGGTTGAGCGCCGTCGTGGAGAAGAGCTTGCTTTGAATGCTTTAGATTGCCCCTGAATGACATGCTTCATACGAGATCGCGGTGTGCTAATGGCGATAGGGTCAGAATCTTCAGAGTCGTCAATTTCAATAAAATCGTCTGAATCGTCTGAGTCTTGAATAACTTTGGCCTTCCCCTGTCCATTCCCTATGAATTTGACACCATTATTACCTTTAGCAGAAAGTTCAATTTTGGGCCTATTAGCAAGTTGGGAAGACTTTTGTATGACTTTAATATCTTCATCATCCGAGATTTCAGAGTCGTAAACGATCTTGGAAATTCTCTTCTGTGTTTTGCGAGGGGTTCTTCGAGTTGCAGGTCCATCGATGTCCATAGCACTCATGCTGTTGGCTTTGGCGTCTTCCTTCTCTTGGAGAGCCCGAGCAAGCTGCGCATCTGCAGTATTATCCTCGTCGGCATCCTCTTCTTCCTCTGAATCGGCGATTCGCTTTCGTTTGTTTGGATTTAGGGAAAATTGACTGTTTCGGAGAGCAGCAGCGCGAGCTACCATATTGACTGAAGGGGCAGCTGTATGTGACATTGTCGCTGTAGGACGTCCTCGTCTACGGGCTGTTGATGCTGTGGGTTTGTTGAAAGATGCCGGAGTCGCAACACCACTCGTGAGAGGAGTTGAGTAGCCGCTGCTCTCGTTGTAGTCGTTGACAGTCGACACAGAGGACAAGGAATTGCGAGCTTTTGCAGCTGGGACCCTCTTCGTGACCTTTGCGCCAACGTACTCATCGATTCTAGAAGGGGAAGGAAAGTCCAAGCTAGAAATATCGTCATCATCATCACCTTCATCGTTGACGGTAGAAGGAGCCGAAGGTTTGTGCTTTTGGGAAGTTGTTGACGAGTTGTTGACGAGTTTGCCGGTGGAACGTCTGGATGCTGTTTCTCAAGTTTGTCAGAAATGATTGCTCCTAAGGATAAAATGCGGAAGGAACGGGAGACGGGCTGAGGCATTTTAAATGCCCGGAGAATGAAGAAAAAGAGAATCACTAACAAGATGCTCTCGATGTAGTTGTGGTGCTGCTGAAGCTGTCGACCTTCCTCGGTCGACCTCTGGGTCTGCCGGTCGGAGTCATCTTGGAGACCCAAGAACGAACAGAGCACTCGCAGACGTGGTTTTGTTATAACTGACAAAGATTGAGTGTATAGTGGCGATGATGACAATGTCTCCTTCAAAAATGGAGGTTGGTAGTTGGTATTCGGCTGGATTGTGACAGGAGGGCGGGTTTTTCATGAATGCAGGGCGAACCACCAGCAACAAACACAGTAAGTGAGACGATAAGATCCACGGGAGAGTGTTGACTCTTTTTGGTCACAGTTGACTGCGGAGAGGCCAGATATGAAGTCTTTGATATGGCCTCGACCTCCAGTAAACTACAAAGGCGGCGTTGTGTAGGAACTGCCTCAGAAATCGGTGGCGATAAGAAGGGGGGAAAAGTTCGGAATCGCAAAAAGGGGACGCGTCAAAACTTGCACGAAATCACGTGCATGGGGACTTTAAGCTGAAAATAGGCGGAGAAAACGGCTGTTGATTGGCTACGTGGCTGCGGCAGCCCCACCATGCACCAAGACTACAGGCGGCAAGGCGCGTCAAACAAAGGAAGGACGGAAGAGAACTCGAAAAGGGGAACTTGCAGAGAGGAAGTAGGTGCGCTTCGTGAATCTGCTTTGTTGCCCTCAATACATCGTTCAAGTCCGAATCCTGTACTGTCCATTTCCATCTCCATCTCCTCAACTCCATCCTCATTCTCAGGCGGGCTGCACGTTCGTGAAATAACAGAACGTGAAGAGGGAGGGGCGAATAATCCACAATGTACCTTTTTCAACCATCCCAACACAACTTTTTTGCTAACCTATCCTAAAGGTCGAACACTCCAAATGCTACTCCTGCTGGAAACCAACGAGCAGCTGCAGCTCCAGGTCGTCAGATCCGCGGACCGTAAGCATCCCTGAAACCGGAGAAGCCGCCGATACTAAAATCATGACCCCGCAGGCAATCTGCTCTGACCGACTTCCTCGCTGTATGTTACCTCCCGTGTTCCTGGACATACAAATGCAGCCATTCCCATTAACACAGTTTGCCTTCTCTAGTCGCATAATATCAGCGCGAATCAGATCCGCCAAGATGCGAACGCTCGTCGAGCAGCCGCCTTAGCTGCCCAGCAAGCTGTGGATGCTACAGACAATGCCCCTTCGCCAGGAATGGAGGCAGATGATAGTCCAGCTCCAGCCCCGGCTCGTGCTCGGAGAAGTGAGAGCAAAGCCCAGTCCGCAAAAAGGAAGAAGGACGAAGAAGTACGTTGGAAGAAACCCTTAGTTTATTCAATTTTGCTCACTTGTTGAATAGAAAGCCATCGCAAAGATCAAGGCCTCGAAGACTTTCCAACGCCGCCGACAAAAATACGATTCTGATGACGAAATGTCCGACGAGGATGAAGCCGCTCGGGCCATATTCGAAGAGAGAATGGCGCCTCTGCCAGACCAGATGGAGAATTGTGAGGACTGTGGCAATCGCTTCAGAGTTACACCATACAGTCGCAAGGGCGAAGATGGAGGGCTTCTGTGCCCGAAATGTTCTAAGGAACTCGACAAAGAGGAAAGTAGAGCCACTAAGAGGAGAAAGACTAATGCTGGACGACAACGACGGCAAATCCAAAGCAACCTTCTTGATGGTATTTATCCTGGTGCAAAAGACCTCATGACCCTTTGTATCGAAACTCTTGCCAAGAATGTTGATATGGCTGAAGACTTTGGAGATTTGCCACCAGCAATGGTTGAAAGGCTTTCAGGGATCCTCTGCAAGAAACGAGAGATGAGATCAGACCCATTAAATCTTTTCCTTCGCCCCGGCAATGACACAGTCACAGTCTACGATGGAGCTCGACTCTCCTCAGATGACTACATCAGAATCTTCCAGTACTGTCCAACTGTCAAGGATCTACGTCTCCGGGACGCTGTCCAATTTAAGAACAAGGTTATGGATCATTTCCTCTCAACCAAAATTAAATTGGAAAAGCTTAATCTTCATGGTGCTAACCTCATCGATGACGAGAGATGGAACCGTTTCTTCAAGGAGAAGGGCGAGAACCTCAAAGCGTTCAAGCTTCATTATACTGATGGCCACTTTGGGGACGAGCAACTTGCGCTCCTTCCCAAGACCTGCCCGAATCTGACCAGACTCAAGATCGTACACAACCAAAAAGTCACAGACGAGGGTCTCGAACATATTGCCAAGATCTCGAGTCTAGTGCACCTTACCATCAACATCTACGGTCAAACGAGCTCACCCCCATATGTCGAAATCATCAATGGTGTTGGCCCTGCACTTCGCACTCTTTGCATCGACAAGGCCAGTATAGACGACAGTGTTTTGGAAGCCATCCACGAGAACTGCCAAAACATTCAGAAGCTTCGTCTCACTGACAACGAATTCATGACTGACAGGGGTTTCGCCAATCTCTTTTCAAACTGGTACAACCCCCCACTTACCTACATCGACTTTCACAAATGTCGTCACATCGATTCAAACGATCCTCGTGATAATACAAATGGTATCGGGTTCTCATCCTTGGGATTTGAAGCTCTCATGGCCCATTCAGGAAAGACCCTCAAACATATCGACATAAACTCCTGCCGACACATATCATTGGAGACCTTTGAACGTGTTTTTGCTGTCGACAAGAAGTACTTAGACTTGACGTTTATGAACATCAGTTTCTGTCAGGCAGTCAACGACTTTGTGGTCGGTTGCATCTTTAGATCCTGTCCTAATATCAAACAGTTGGTTGTTTTTGGCAATTTTGGTGTCAGGAGTGTCAAGATTCCAAAGGGTAAGATTTTGACTGGTATCCCCACCGCGATGGGTATGCAAACTGAAGGTACGGAGGATGGCGAGGGGCGTATTGCTGGTTAAGTGGTGTAATGGACGAGAGGGCTTGCTTTTTGGGGGACTGTATGGTATGGAAAATATTATGCCTTGCTTAATGGCTTACTTTTGCTGGGCAAAGACTAGAGGTGCTCGCTTGGTTGCAGCTGCGGTTTATTACGAAGAATATGATAGTGCAAGAATGCCTAAATTAGTTGGCTTTCCGAGAATTTTGGTAATACGAATGATGATTTCTAGAATGGGCAAGGACTCAACAACGGGCTATACAAACCGTGGTCTTCTAGTATCCGCGAAAGTCTCGACCTTCTTGCGTTGTTCTTTGCGAATAGGTCTACAGCACTTATGTTTAATTTTCCTGCATTTCATAAGGTACGGTAGGGCTGACAAGCGATGAGTAGACCTCTATATACCTCGAGCTGAAAGCCACGATCTCACCCCCTTGAGGAAGATCAGGATGGTTGATGTCAGTGAAATTTATAGTATATCTTATCACTAAGGAAAGAGAGGCAAGGCATTGAATATCATCAAGTCGTTTTCGCCGCATGCCCAGATGGTCTTGTGTTCCATTCGCTTAATAATTTTCGCTCCCCCCCATTATTTCAACTGCGAAAAGGCCAGCAGAAGAAAAAGATAGCAACTAGCTTACCTACAAATGAAGTAGAAGAAAATTCAACTTCGAAATTTAGGTATCTATTTGATAGAAAAATTATATCAAATACAAATTGTGCTTAAGCCCTGCAATATCCAAGCAGCAGATGCTGAACTAACCCCGTTGGTGTTATTATACTACTAAGGGATGTAGTTCTCCTTGATCACAAATCCTACCAGGACACCATTGCCTGTGAACTTGTTTGTCATGTTTTACGCTTGTATCAATTATGAACGTATATCAACTAGCGGGTAACTATCGCCCGCTCCGGCAGATGGCGAGTAGACATGATGGGAGGCAGTCTCGCAAGTTCACTTTCCTACAATCAATGCTCCTGGACATACTCTGGCATTTTTACTCGATGCTTTTTATCCGTCTTCTTGTCACCGCTAAGGGTTATTTTTGATTAGATCGTATTTATGCCCGGCTCGATATCTCCTACTTCCACGATGCGTCCTTCCTCTACACGGTGCAACGTTCATTTGAGCAGTACCTTATCTTTACACTCCATACTAGCTTTTCTACAGTGGACACAGTCAGTCATTTTTAGTTCTGCACTACCTCTTGATGATTGTATACGTCCCCGCCGTCCCCCAATCCTCGAAACATAGCTCGTCTCACTTTAATATTCCCTTTGCATTTGTCCTATTTTATCGGACAAACGCATTTATCAGAATACAGGATCTTGATCTATATTGGTTCGTTAAACAATGTCCTGGTAGACATTGACGGCCAATTCGATTCTCCTTCAAGTGTTTTTATGTACAGTCATGTGATATTCGCTTAATAAAACTGCCCTCAAGTGCCCCTATCTCGACACGGTAAAACTAGCAAAAAGAAACAGAGATACGCATATAAACTTTCGATTTGAAAGAATCACCAACGAGCATGCTGAAATCTTAACAGCTTAAGTATTTATACATACCTTATAGTCTACCGCTAAATAAATTCTAAATGGCGTGGTCTATGTAAAGCCAGACCTAGATTACTATCCCCGGTCGTCTTTCTACCAAATTATTAGCAGCACCTGCCAAATACAGGTCCCAGGCGAGGTTTTTATGCACCCAAAAAGTGCCCAGCCTAGGTAACTTACTTTTTCAAAGCTCCCTCGTTCCTCGACTTATACAATTAATGTCATGAACCCAACAGCTATACCTTCCCCATCACCATCTCCAGGACTTGTGGCTGGGCTCGTCCATGTCGTTTCTCGTTTTTCATTTCTCATATATTGCTGTTTATCATCATTCAATCCCCAGTACTGACATCATTTGGCTCCATCTCGAGGATAGGTTTAAGCGTCTTCATTGGCACGGGCTTAATCAGAAAAATATCAATGCCACTCAAAGCAGCATCTCGTTGGTATTCCGCCGACGAGAAGCAAGTCAGAGCTACGATACGGGTTCGAGGGATGTTATTTTTGCTTTCGTAGGCTCGTATGCGTCGACTTGATGTCAACCCATCCATTACGGGCATTGCAAGATCTGCGAGGATGTTGTGAGTCTTCGCAATTTTGTGACCTGGTTAGATGAGAGTGAGACGTACCCATGAAGATCACTTTAAATGAGCAGGGCTCTTCTTCGAATCTGTGGAGGGCTTCTAGGCCGTTAACTGCTGTGATGTAGTCTTGCTTCGCAATCTTCATATAGTTGACTAGAATCTGGTAAAACAGTAAGTCTTCTCTTCAGCAAATCAAGCTGTTTGGTGGAGAACCGCATACCTTCAAGTTGATACTATTATCTTCAACGAGAAGGACCTTTGATCTAGATGGAATTTGTGGCACAGCCAATTTGGTTGACTCGGGATCCAAGGTCATTTTGCTGACGGCAATTGTAATCTTCTCTTCTATTGCGGCTGGACCGGGCAGCCCGTTGTGATTGGGAGAGTTCGGCGAATTGGAAGCCTCTCCGGAAGGTATAATTTCTAGAATATCCGGACGATTATCATTTCGGTGACTGGATACCTCCTGAAAGACTGGCGGACTACCTGGCTTTTCGCCACCCTGCAAAGTTGGCAGTCTAATGGACGAATTTCTATAGTCCAAACACTGCGCCAAGATTCTCGCTAGCTTGTGAGGACCAGCACTGGAAATGCGTTAGCATTGAATGTTGATCGGAGTCGGGAAGAGAAAAGTCTGGCAGAGTATGCAGACTCATGAAACTATATGCAATACATAAGAAACAATTGAGTGCATACGGTTGTGAAAGGGAAACCACGCCATTGCCGCTGCCAATGTCATCTCCTGCTGTGATATCCTCAAAGATGATCGATGGTGGTATTGACACACGGTTGCTCTTTAGAAGGCTTGATTTGGATCGAAGGCCCATCAAAATGTCTCCGTTCGCAGAATCGGCGGAAGAAGCCGTAGTAACTTCCAGACCAAACCAGTCAGCAGCCATTGCAGTAAGAGATTCTTTCATAGCTAGTATGCATCTTGCATGAGCACTGAGAAGGCCATTTGGTGTTTCTGCAATATCCGGGTAGTATTCGAAACCGATGAAACACAGTTTCAATCTATGACACCGGGTCTTGATTTCCTTGATAAAGGAACTGTTTTCCTGGATTGTCGTAGTTTGAGGTTTTGAAGGAGGCCCAATGGGCACAGAGACATTGACAGTCGTCCCATACCCTACCTCACTATGCACATCAATTTCGCCCCTGAGATCGACCACCAGTTGACGGACTATAGACAGCCCAAGGCCAGTGCCGACAGCATGAGGATCTTCCTGGGTAAAGGGCGTAAAAAGACCATGTCTCAGATAATCCTGTGACATTCCCTTACCCGAATCCTCGATTTGAAGGGTGACGACTTGTTGGGATGGCCGTGATGAGTCCGCGGATATTGTATTCGCCCGGAGGGAGATACGTACGAAGCCGGAAGTCGTGTATTTGAGTGCATTTCCAAAGAGATTCATGATGATTCTCTTCCAACTGCCAACGTCTGATTCAAGGTTCCATGAAGTCTGCCAGTCGACGCTTACAATAACCAAAACATTCATCTGCAAAGCATCATGGCCCATGTGCTCATGTGTGTTGTCTGATCTCCGATAATTGTGACCAACAGAGACGCCTTCAACGACATTCTCTACAAGTTGGCTCAAATCTAGATTTGTGGTCCTTTTGTTATGCGAAACACTCTTCTCGAATCGTGATGATGATGGGTTTGTCGAAAGGCTAGTCTTAGCGTAATCCAGACTGAAAAACTTAGTTTGACTTCAATGATTAAAGAAACAAAACTTACATTTGATCCATTGTATCTAGAAGTGTCCCCCCGCAGACCGTTATTGTTCGAATCATTTCATCTTGTGTCGAATTGGTCGGAGTTTCCTGTAGAGCTTCTGCGCTTGCTAGGACGCCGTGGAGAGGCGAGCGTAGTTCGTGACTGACTGAAGAAATGAAATCCGCTTTGGCGCGATCAGCTGTGAGGGCATCCAGTCTAGACTTTTCCGACATTATGCAACTTCCGAATGCTGCTAGATAACCAATATCTGCCGATTCTAGAGTTCGTGTTGAGTTCTTGCTCCACGCCAGACTTCCTGCAAACCATTGGTCTCGTTGAGGATCCCAAAGTGCTAGGAAGATGATGGACCTTGCGCCAGGACAGACATCCAGCAACTGTTTAGTCCACAATTTCTCCTTCTCCTCTCCCTTCTCCTCCTTCTCCTTCTCGCTATTCGAATTTTCCGATGCATCGACCCCAGATTCAGTAGTGTCACTTTTCCAAGGTTTGTCCGCTGTTTGCACAAGAGACCCATCTTCATCGAAATCAAATATGTGTCCATATCGGTACTTTCCTAAGAGGCCTCGCAAGGTCGACTTTGGTAGCGGTATCCGTTGTGATGATAAGGCATCAGCGGAATTCGAAGCCTGAGCAGAATACCCTAGTAATTCGCTTGATGATAAGTAAGGGGCGTGAAGTGTCTTAGCCATAGATTTCTGACTTGCTGCTGGATCGTCAACGAAGCGAATAGAACCCTTTTCCCCACTCTCACTGGACCATTCTTTTCGTTCGTCAGAAGGTATATCAGACATACCCCGAAATTTTAAGGGCTCGGGAAGCGGAGATTCTGGGGCAGCTGTAGCTAGATCAACGGCGATATCGCGGACACAGGCATCGATGAACATGACACCATCCAAGTCAAGGGCCTTTCGAATAGTATAAGACGCGCGAGAGAATAATTGCTTCATCGCACCGGAGGATATCTCCTGGATTGTTGCAATGCTATCTGATGATAACTTTCGCTCTCTTGTTCCAAGACCAGAAGAGGGGGTTGACGGGTGGGTAAAATCAGTAGCAGATGCTGAAGACGCGGACCGAGTCGTTTGAGCCGCATTTTCAGAGAGATTGTGGTTTGATAGATGGGCGGTCTTGGCCAAACCATCAGTACTATCTTGGGCACTTTCCTGTCTATCCGATGCAGTTGTCAAAGTTTGAGCTGAGCCAGTTGGGTGAATATGGGGGCGTGCTTGGAGTGTTTTCAGTTTGTTCGCTTCATTTCCACCAAAGTCTTGTAGAGCGCCTTTGCCTTCCACAAATAAATTCAATCCTTTCACCATTCTGCCCGCTCTTTGTAAGTCATGCTGCATTTGGACAAGTTCAAGATGTTTCATAATAGCGGAAGATATCTCGTTTAATATACCGAGGCCCTTTTTGCTGAGCCCATCTCTTGGCTTATTGTCAACAACACAGTACGTCCCAATGACATGACCTGAAGGACTATGGATCGGAACCTCTGCATAGAACTTCATGTATGGCCATCCAATACAATACGGCCGATCTTTGAAGCTGTCCATTGCAGACATATCGTTCATAACGTAACACTCCCGATTGGCAATGACACTGGATGTAGCTACATCGAGGCTGTCATCCTGAGCAGTAAATACTTGTATCGTATTCGGGCATACCCCCCATATCGTATCCAAGACTCGGGGGCCCAAGTATACCTCGTCACCCTCGTCGCATTGCTCTTGTGAGTATAAAGACACGCTCCTTGTCGCTTCAGCCAGAATGAACTGATTCTGGGGGGTCATAATTGAGATAAAGCTTCGTTCACAGTTCATTCGAAATGCACCCAGTTGTGCGAATGCAGTCAACGTGGGGTCATGCGACAGCAATTGCGAGTCGTCGGGTATGTCATTTTGAGCCTCAGATGCAGATGCCAGGGCGATGGATGGAGCGGCATGTCCGGCGGCGTAGATATCAGAAAAACCACAGGGGATGTTCTCTTTGAGCGGTGCTCTTGGTTTTGTATCCGTTTTGTAGTACCTGTTTCAAAGAAATACAAAAAGAGTCAGGGTCTTGATCTGCAAATAGGTGGGCATAATAATGAAATAGACTGGAGGTGGGGGCTGGTAAACCTAAGTAGATCGCGCACGCGAGCCCTCTCGCGGGCTCTCACAAGACTGAGCTGCGTCTGCGCATGCAGCTCGGGGTCGGACATGGTATGTTCAGAGTCGGAAGCAGCAAGGACCAGCAGCAGCCTGTAGTTTCTGCTCTGCTCTGGATCTGATCTAGGAATGTTGATCTAAATAAAGTACAGTCCTGGAACTTTTAGCCCGGCCGCTACGTAGCATGTGCATATGCTAAATTTAGTTTATCTATACCATTAGGTAAGCTATTCTGCCAACCACCAGAACCACCATGAATAAACATATTTATTGCCCTACTTAGATGACTAATTTGTTACTTCGTAATAATTTCAAACGCCGTACTAGATTCATGATATAGTCAAAATAAAAGAACTATCATAGCATTGAAACCAACGCTGAGATAAAGCTGTATAGATAAATAAGACTACGTATAATACTACGTCCTATGACTAAAATTGCACCTATAACCTTCTAAGTAACCAAGACCGCACTTTCCACCAAAGTATATTCTTATTTCTATCTAGAATTAGGGTCTTCTACTTATATATATAGGCGGTATCCTAATCTGCTTACTATTCTACTTTGAATTATATTAGTAAAAGATAGTAAAGCACGGAGCCAGAAGTCATGGGAATCCAAATAGACGTAGAAAATCATACATTTATACTTAATACCAGCTAGGATTCCTATGCTTGCTCTCAGATATTTCACTTCATAATATCGAAACCTCAGACCTGATCGTCTTACAGAGGGCGCGAGTTGCATTGTTTCTAAGCTTACTTTCAAATCATAGCACTTCTTTCTATCCCACAACAGAAGTGATCACTCATCGTCTTCATCTTCATCTTCCTCCTCGCTATCTCCCTCCTCTTCAACATCCTCCATCTCCTCATCTTCATCCTCATCCGCCTCAAGACCATAGCTTTCTTGGAAGGCAGACAGGGGCTGAGACTGGGCTTTGAAACCTGTATCTGTAAAGCCTTTGACGATTCCCTGTTGGCAGATTAGTATTGAAATGACAATAATTGTACAATGGAAAGTAGTTGCATACCTCAACCATAATTGGCGCACAAGTAACAACCACATTCGCCTTGCCTGGAGCGAAAAGTGGCAGAAGGACATTGCTCATGACTGCCTTAATCTCATCAACAGTAACGGCACGAACCTGTTTCAACAGCTTCTCGTTATAGTCATCCGTAACTTCCTTTACGACACTATCCACAAAGTGGAATTGTCCGGCTGCGGCCATCGTGGACTGGTCATCCGCAAGACCTGTGACGATTTGGCTGACTGCGCCTTCCAAGGCATATTGCTCGAACTTTGCCGTTCCATTGATGTATGAATCTAGAACGCCCTTTGCAGCAATAAAGGCTCGATACGCATCGGGAGAGCGATATACGCTGAATTGAACGAAGCCACCATCAGGATCACGTCTAAAACTGGCGCCGTACGCGAGACCTGTGCCACGAACCGCGTTCCAAATCGGGCCTTCCACTTGATCAATGAAGGAGGTAGCGACCATGAGAGCAGGTAGAACGGGATCGGTGTGGGACTTTGGTCCCTTAGCGGAGGAGAGGAGAAACGAGGAGTCGATGGTGGGCATAGGCACTACGACGGCGCCATAGTTTCCTGGTGTCTGGCCGTCGGGGCTCAAGCGTTGGTTAAGCTTGACGAGCGGAAGTAATGGCTTTGTGGTATCGAGACCAGCGACCAGTGGCTTCCACGCATCGACTGGGTTGGGCAGCTTCTCGATGTTCGCAATTACGAGGGTACGCATGTTGTCGAACGTGAAGATCGACGTTCGCAGTGCCTCGAGCCAGCCAATGACGACTTCGGGCTCGTTGGCAAGGAGCTTCTTGAGCCGTTTGAGGTAATTTGCTTTGACGAGGGTACCTCTGGCTTTAATGCTTGAATCCTTGTCCAGATGGATCATGGCGTCTACAGCATACATCATGCTGTTGCCACTTCGCTTTGTCTCTGGGATCTCAGCCAATGCCTTGGAAGTTCCAGCCTTGAGTCTTGTCACATCAAAGATGCTGTCAAACATCAAGGTTCTAATCCACTCTATAGCAGCTGCGTACTTCTCCGGTTCGACTTGAAATTGTATCACAAGACCCTCTGCATCGCTGAGACGGCCCCCACCGTTCATACTATAACTGACTGTATCTTGCTCTAATAGCGTTACCACCTCTTCAAACTCGATTTTCTTCCCTCCCCGCATAATGGGAGTATTGAAGAAATTGTCCATAAATAGCGGAAGAAGTGGACGATGCTCAGTTGCGATCTTGGAAGTTCCGATAAGCATAGTAAGGTGTACAAAATTAGTTGGCACGTGCTCGAACTGGAGGAAGAGTGGAAGGTTCGATGTCTGCTCGACGATCTTCTGGATATTGTTCGATGGCGTGCCTAGCTTCTTGGCGAGACCGGACCTAGCACTTGTAGTTTCGATAAAATGTATCGATTCTACACCGGGGACTGGCCATTTCTGAAGAAGGGATGCGGGGATCTCGATGTCATTCTTTGCGACAGCTGCCTTGAGCTTCTCACCTAGCTTTGCAAGACCATCAGGTCCTAACTCATCGCGTCTCGCCGCAAGCCGCTTCTCCTCAGATGCTTTCATCTTCTCTGATAGGTCCTTTGAAGGTGTACCTAATAAGGAGATATGATGCGCATCTGAAATCCACTTTCTCAAAAAGGCTCTCCATTGCTCATCTGTCCATTTCTCCAATTCATCAAATTCCGCGATGCTGCTGAGATCCTTCAGCGTTGAGCCATCCCGCTTTCCAAAGAGAAAGTCATTGATTATCCCGTCGGCATAGAAGCTTCCAGAGCTCTCCGCTTGGAACTTCACCTGTCTGCGCTCTCTCTGAATACAATCGAGCATGTACTTCATGTCTAGAGGCTTTGCTGCAACATCTTTGAGAATCTCAAACAACCGCTTTTCAACATCAGCAAGTTTTTCAGTCGCTACTCCAGATGGCTGGAACCATATGACCGAGTTCGGTCTCGCATCCCAATTGTGATAGATCGCACTTGCAAGCTCTTCTTTCTCTACCATGATATTTTCAAGAACTGAAACAGACGATCCCGCAAGATAGGTGAGGAGGATGGTCAAGGCAGCGGTCTCAACAACGTCATTACAGTCAGGGCCGAACATAGCAATAGTGATTTCGCCCATCGATTCATCTTCCTCTGGAAAGGGAATTAACTCAACGATGGTTTCTTTCAACGAAGGCGGCTGTGGAGATTCCACCCATGGTCTGAAGCGTGTCAGCAGAGCCGATGTCATTGAAGGATTAAATTTACCTCTTGAACTGAGAATCTGGTGAAGGGATAGAATCCAAAATAGAATCTTCGAATTGATCCAAGATCTGGAAAAGATTGTCTTCATCGACCTCACCAACTAGGACCAAACACAAATTTTTGGGTTGGTACATTTCCTTATGGAAAGCACGAATCCTCTCTGCCGTTAAGACTCGCAGATTCTCCATCATGCCTCCCGTCTCGTAACGGAACCCAACATTCTCAGGGTAAAGTAAGCGTCGAGCTCTGATGTCCATGATTTCAGATCCAGTATTTTGAACACCCTGCATCTCGGAATAGACAACACCCGCATCATTGCCTTCGCCATCTATGTGATGAACTTCAGTATAACATCCTTCGTCAGTCAAGGTTGGAAGGATAACATGTTCCAAATAAACAGGAAGGATTTGGGCAAAGCCTTCCCAGCCAGCGGTATCCAACGTGTAGGCAGTGTGGTCCGTAGCGGTCCATGCATTGGTATTCGAGTATGCCCGTGATGCAAGTCTATCGAGCAGGCCCTTGTATTGATAGCTCTTAGAACCCATGAATACCAAGTGTTCGAGTGTGTGGGGAGATCCAGAATCGTCAAAGATCTCAGTTGCTAGGGCAAAATACCCTGAGACCTTAGGTCCTTTCTGATCGGCAACCACAACGTGCATCCCTGTGCGTTCAGATACATATTGGGAGATGGAAACTGGTGCATAGTCGGTCTTAAACTGTTGTATGATACGGAAATGGGTCTTCCTCGTTTGACTAGGCATATTGAGAGATGAAAGTGCCAGCCGTTGATGGATGGAATGCTGCAGAACTGAAAGAGAATCGATCCTGCTAACATGTTAGTCGAGAGGCTTCTTTCAAGTCTGGCAATCGTTTGCATTTTTGATAGCAGAACGGTAAGGCTGTTGAGTGACGCTCGGACGCCCTGTTTGTTGTACGCCCTATGAACACGCCCATTGGAAACTAATACTAAGTCTGAAATACGTGGCACACTCCATAGGCGAATGGTCTAATTTATGAGCAGAGTACCCTGGTGCACTATACTACCAGCATTTGATGGATCTGAAAACGTGTCCCACGTGACCAATATTGAGGTTCCAAGATTGATATTTGGGAGGGAAGGAATAGGCCGATGGCTTACCATTTGAAATTTTCCACTTGGTATACAGCAGCAGCCAAGAGAGCCGCCAGGAGAGTAAAAAGAGTCAATGCGCTTGGGGGAAATAACCCCGCCAACCCCGCCATTACAAACAGCCAGCTAACAAGTCCCAAAGAGAATACGACGGAGAGTCGTGCGAAGGTAAATAAGGCAGGCAAGGCATAGGAAAGCAAACAGTATGTAGAAGGAGAGGTTTTGATTTCATACCTAGGAAGGGCGTGAAGAACACGGCAGCCTTGCGCAGATTTCCAATGCACGGTGACTCAAAGAGGCATGTAAGCCACACAGTCGTTAGGTTTAAAGAAGAGCTAGTCAATAACGCAAGTCAGGGCTGTTAGATAATGAAGCTATTCAGAACGCAGAAAGGATCCTGAGATGAGTGCGAGTGAATTAGGTTGGGAGTTCAGAGCAACAAAGGGAAGCAGAGAATATCCCCTGAAGAGGCGAAGATTGTGATTGGTTGAAATTGCAGGGACTTTGCCGCCAAACGCGTATTGGCAAGGAAGGCGCGCTTAGATGTTGACAGAGACAGCGATAGCCGGTCGCAGCAACGTCATTTCTGTATATACTTTGGAACTTACATTTACAGCAAATCCATCCGAGCCGGCGAGCAGATACGCAGACAAGTAAAATGCCGAACTACGCAGATCGTATCCAATAACCACAAAGAACATTTCTGATTTGGTCTCACGAGTCCTGGGACAGTGTCCTCAACATGGCGTCAACCGGGGTTCTTGGAAGCATCTTGGTTGATTTCTCCACCAAAGGCACCTTTCCAGAGGAAGAATCGGTATCCGCAGCCCCCGTGGAAGAATCGGCTCTACCTGGAGCTTTGGCGGCCTTGAATACGGCCAAAACTGAATTGGAGGTAAGCTCTCTAGAAAGTCCCAGCTGCTGTGAGACTTTGTTATGTATCTTTAAATCATTCAGCTAATACGTGCCGCAATAGACAGAGATCCGGAAGCTCAGTAAAGACAGTGCTCCCGATATCGATACTTGGATCACACACGCGCAGAGCATTCAAAATGATATCGAGACCTCAAAACAACTTGCCAGCCGTATTGTTCGGCAGGCAGAAGCGGATGGTAAACGAGTGGAGGAGCAGGAAGACAACAGGGCATATGTGGAGTTTATGACCAAGGAAGTGGAGTTGAATGATCACCTTCGTCAAGCATTAGAAGAAATGCAGAGATTAAACGACCAATTGGACGAAGCGGAGACACTCGCTTCCGAGAGTAATATCATAGCCGCTCTGAATATACTTGGAGGTATTGTGTTATGTTTTGAATGACGGAGACCAAGCACTGATTATGGTACAGAAGCTTTGGAAACCATCTCGGAAGTTTCTCCTGAGACCACCGTTCGAGCAATCAAAATCCTCAACCAGAGGTGTATTACTCTGAGGCACGCGATACACGAACAATTTGAGATGATATGGAAGGCCTTGATTGTGGTCAATATGGATGACGGTGTCATTACTATCAACCAAACAATCCCTAGTATGTACGCATCCCAGTGCGTAGATTCTTTGCTGACGGGTTTAAGCTGCTCCCATGACCTTATCCGAGGCTACAGTTGTTCTGCAGACATATAAAGAAGTCGACAAGGCGGCGACACAGCTATGGCACAATCTAGATGAGGCAATACTCAGGCCCCGAACAGACCTTCGTGCTGCGCCTCTTCCTAAAATCCAAATTGATGGAGTGAGTTATACGCACAAGAACACACGGCCACCTCTGATTAGTTATAGAATTGCATTCGGGCTAGCGAACAGTTTGCCAATAACAGCATCAAAGCATTGTTCAAGGAGCTTGAAATTGTTATTCGCTTCCTCATCGAGAATCTTACGCCGGAGCTCGTCAAATCGCTTTCTGATGTTATGATGCCTACTCTCTCAGGCCGGGTTAAAGAACTATGGCTAGACAACGCTATCCCAGCATCTTTAGACGAAATTGAAAATTACCAGAAGGCTTTGATCCAGGTCCAGGAGTTTGCCAACACGCTAGAAGTCCTCGGATGGCTAGATTCACATGGTTTACATCGTTGGGTCGAGGATGCTCACAAGAATTGGCTCAACAAGAAGAGAGAAACGGTTCTCGACTGGACTAGAAATGAACTTTCATTAGGTAAGTTTACTCTTTCCGGAAGACAGGCCTAGTCTGCCTTGAAATCAAACATCACAACCGTAACAATTGACTAATCTCATCTATAGGGCTTGGAAGTCCCCATATCGCCGAACGGGTCCAAAAGAAAATGGTACCTCGAGATGAGGGCATGCAAATCACCGCGACTGGCAATGCAGTAGATGATACGTGGGATGCGGCATGGGATAGTGATAAAGAAGACTCTTCACCTGCCGAGGAAGGAAGACCTTCCGAAATCCTTGCTAGTGGAATACTTCCTGCGGGTAGCACAGAAAGGAACCGAAGTTCCCTAGACGAAGAACGAAGAAATTCCTCCATCACTCACACTTCACCAGAGCCTGAGGACGAAGATGACCCAACAGATGCTTGGGGCTGGACAGATGAAGATGCTACAGAAGGAGCCGCTGTGGATACAGACGCATCTAAGCCAGCCACTACAAAAGATGCATTAGCTGCCGCCCAACAGAACCCTAATCCAGAGCTACGTCAAGTAACCATATCGGAGAAGTTCCAAACGTCTTCGATCCCGCAGGCAATACTTGAAGCAGTAATTGGAGTTCTGAATGACGGAGCAATTTTAGCACAACCCAAGTTCGTCCCCATGACGTTATCGCTGAACACAACTGACATTACAGAAACGAGAGCTTACCGATTTCTCCGGCCGCGCCAGGCCTCTTCAACCTTCCCACCCTTCTTCTTGCCGAGTATCGTGCACTTTCCCAACTATATTACGCCGAGAATATGAATGGTAACATGTGAGTACGCAGTCTTCCCTCGTTCCGTACCATGTTAATCGCATGTGCCCAGGTATCTGTTGAATGACACTGTATGGCTGTCCGATCAGCTACAAGAATTTGTAGCCCAGTGGAAAGAGCGAGAGGATATACCAGAGCGAGCGGTCCGAATGATCAAAATAGACCCCGAGATCAACAAGCTCATAAGCTTTGGCAATCGAGCTTATACCAATGAGCTCATCGCCCAAAGAACAATCATCCACGACCTCTTGGCTGGTAAGTATTTCCTAACGCATTCACTCGAATATCTCTGACAATCCTTACAGGCACTCAGAACTTCTTCCAGCAAGAACAAGATGAGATCCAAGACGGCATCCGCTTCGTCATACAACAGATCCGCGAACGCAATAAAGCCTGGTTCGATATTCTACCATGGTCCTCATGTGCCTCGGCCACTGGTTCTCTAGTCAACGCTGTCGCATCCAAGCTCATAGCCGACATCTTCGAACTACCAAACATTGGCGTTGACGAAGCCGAGCACATCGCCACCATTATTTCGAAAGTCGAAGGCCTCGACGATCTTTTTGTCAAGCCTGGCCAACACGGCGCGAACACTGTTCCCTTGACGGGCCAATTCGCTGATAAATGGTTCAAGCTGAGCTTTTTGAATCAAGTCCTGCAGAGCAATCTCGCGGATATCAAGTACCTTTGGACGAAGAGCGAGTTGAGCTATTATTTTACGGCGGAGGAGGTCATTGATTTGATTGGGCTGAGCTTTGAAAATAATGTCAATGTGCGACAAACAATCAAGGAGATCAAAGCTAATCCGACACCGAGGGAGGGCTTTGAGTGAGGTTTTGGGATAAGAAAGGCGATAGGAGAATATGTATATTATGCATAGCATGTGATACCCAGAGTTATTGTACACTAGCTATTACTTGTATCAAGGTCTCTCTCAGTGCGAGGAGAAGCATCACTTACTCCCGCGCCGCCCCCCCCCCCCCCCCCTGGAGACATTTTCAGATCACTTCCTCGAGTAAATGCTGCCTTTTGTACTCTGCATCCGAACCTGGCCATATTTATTGATTTACTGTGAAATATTATTGCCAGCGATAGTGTCTACTTTTTGCTCTCCGCGTAACCCAACTCTTGCCCATTTTTGCTGGGGGGACGGGGTCGAAAAAGACAAAAGAAATACGCTAGGCGAAACGGAAAGATCTTATTGGCATTGAAAAGGGACAATGATAGAAGCATCCTCGTACGTCTTTTAGTTATTCCCCCTTTAACTTGCTGTACTTCTGGCGATCATACTTGCTTTACCTACTTCTAGCCATTATACTTGCTCTACCCTCTTCTCTGTTTACTTTCTCTCCTTTAAAGCGTGCTAGCACCTCTCCTTGCGACCTTCTTTTACTTCTACCCAGATTTAATTCTACTTGATCAAAGACACTAAGCTAACAGTAGGCAATCTACCTATGGTCAACGCCCGGAGCTTGCGTAGAGCCGCGGGTGACGTAGTTGTTCCGCGCCTGGAAGTCCAACTTGATTTTGCGCTTTCTCGTCGCTTCTTGGCGATGAAATGATTTGCATTACGCATAGCTCTCGGCTTGAATTCGTTGTAGCCTTTCTTTTTAATTCTTCTACTTAGGGTTGCTTTTGACAAGAGGGAGGATTCCGCCCTTGAGAAGCTGCTGTGATGGGAAATCATTGGCTTGGATGCGCGGCGAAAAGGGGCAAAAAGCTTCAAAATTAAGCGAAGACGCCTTGCAAAGAAAAGAAACAAAAAAAAACTTTAAGAATGAACTGCCTGTACACTTATTAATTGCTCAGGAAAAATGAACACCAAAATCGTAATGTACATAAGTTAAAATTAATTCGAAACTCGGCTTTCTACCGTAGAAGGCCCGCTGTCCATTACGGTTTCGAAATCCTTCCAGTTGCGGCACGTTTAGCAACCTGGGCATCGAACTCTGTCTCTGTTGTTATTATGTTACGATAATTGCTTATTTTGATATATACCTATTTGATATATACTTAGTACTAAGCAAAATATATCGGTTAACCTTAGCTACTTTCATTGGCAGGGAAAGTCTTTAAAGGCATGCTTTAATAATAGCCTTATTAAACAGTGGCAGGGCTTCGACATCTGTCAACTCCATATTCACCACCTTCGCACTCTACCACTCTCCAATTTTCTCTGCGCAAGAAACATGGCGGAATACGACTGCGACAAAGCTTTAGTGAGAGTCGAGAGGTGTATTGTAGACCTGAAGGTATTGATCTGAGGCGGTTGTTTGGGGTATATGCTGAAGTCAAAGCTGGGATTGTTCGACGACGCAAGATTATTTTGTCTATTTGCAAAGCTACTAGCATCGGCCCCTCCTCAAGAATATCCCCCATCAACAATCGAAGAGTTCGACGATGGCAAAGATGCCGATAGCACACAAGAACTGCTAGATACTACTCTGCAGTATGTCGTTTCCCTCCACGTCAAGTTCCTCATACGAGGACCCCTGTACCATGGTTTTGGGAACCATATCGAGGATATGGCCGTTTGATTCGAGTCGTTGAGATCCAAGGGCATGAACCAGGCAGTGACAAGAGCCAAGTTCGGTCTGAAGCCCGGCGAAGGTCAGTCGCGCATTCCATTGACACTCTCGGCGTGTCGTCATTCATCCTGGAAATGGTTCTGACTCCAACGTCCGGTTTTGTCCCACCTAAATTAAAAGACAAGAAGAGGAAAGCATCGGTCTTGAAGAGCAACGATGATTCGGCCGAGGAGGAAGAAGATAGTTTGTCGGAGGAAGTCAACGAAACAACCGAAAAAGTTCATTAGGGATAATGTCGTATACCTGAAGGGCTTGTGCAGGTCTGAAATCGGACAGAAGAACTCTTTATTCCAAGAGTTCGCACTGATGAGTAAGGAGGAGATGCTCGCTGGAGTTATTCGTTGGGTTGGATGGTGCCATGAAATTTGTCTGCAAAGAAGATTGGAAGCGTGCTACGGTGGTCGCAGGTTTCTTGGGCATGCCGGAAGAGTACCGGAAGGCGTTGGAGGTTGCGGAGCCGTTATAAGTGCCCAACAATTGTACTTATTTCCACAGTTCCTCTACTACTACTAAATATCCCAGACTCTGAGACTTTCAAATCGGATTTAAAGCATGAGTAGCAGTACCTACCGGCTAATCAAATACAGGGAAAACAAGACAAATACTGACATGGTGTTATTATAGAGAATTATATGCCTTCATTCTTTTGCGTAGCATTCGCCGTTCTAATCTGACCGTCTATCTAGGTTGGAGAGCTCAGAGCGAGCCCAGGGTCTCAACGATCTAGTTTCTATATCTCAACTAAGATGCTATGCTTACAGATTATAATGGAAGCTGTAAATTGCCTCGATAAGCATCGCACCCTACTAAAAGACACATATCTTATAAAATAGATAAGTGTAACAATGAACATAGCCACGTGACAGATATCTATGGAAAAACTCAACATGATTTCCTCAAATGATCAGGTAAGTACCCCATGAATTGGTCAGCGCTTACTAATCTTTACCAATTATAAAGGTGTTGACAGAATGTTGCTTTCAAACATAATAATACGATGAATGAACACGTGATCATAAACAAAAAAACACGTGGGCACCTGGAATATCGGGAAGCCTTCTTTATACACCTATCAAAACAACGTTGCGATTGTAAGTTCTTTAACCCATACATACATTCTTAAACTCATGGATATCATCCCAAAATGAGCACACCCGTAGCACGCCCTCCCTCGAAGAGACCAACACCAGAGGAATCCAAACAACCTCCTCAAAACGAACAAGTCAACTCCCTGCTCTATAACCAAAGATGCAGCGATATATGGATGCTCCTTCTCGGACTCCGATTCATCAACGCGCTATGCGTCCGCACCTTCTTCCAGCCAGACGAGTATTTCCAATCCCTAGAGCCAGCCTGGCAAATGGCCTTTGGATCGGAAAGTGGAGCCTGGATCACGTGGGAAAGTAGAATTATCCCCCTGAATGCCTTCACTTTCTAACTTCAAGTAGGAATGGCAGTATCAGCTGCGCTCTTCCTTACATCCGGCTCTGTTTGCGGCGGTCTATTATTCGGCGGATAAACTTATGGAGTTGGTGAGCTACTTCCCGCAGTTTCGCGCGACGGTTTTGGCGGTGCTGCCGAATATTGTGCAGGCGTATTTTGCGGCCGTGGGGGATTATTATACATGGCAACTGTCGGAGAAGATATACGGTAGAGGAAGTAATGCTAATTGGGCTTCTGTAAGTTCGGGTTTCGTACCACAGGGGACTTCGCTGATGAGGGTTTAGCTTTTGATGACAATCTTCAGTCCCTGGCAGTGGTTCTGCTCGACTAGGACATTCTCAAATTGCCTCGAGACGACTATGACCATTACTGCGTTAAATTTTTGGCCGTGGAAATTCTCATCGGATAGTGTTCTAGATGAATCTGCAGGCGTGAAGGAGACGGCTGTAGCGCCTGCCAAGATCTCGATTTTCGAAGAGCCTGGGTCTGTCAAGGGGTGAGTCGTATATCATCCATACTGTCACATATCTAACCTTATCTGAAGGCTTATTACGTCTCTTCTACTTGCTGGGACTGCCTGCATCCTACGCCCGACGAATGCACTTATATGGTTTTCCATTGTAATGGCAACGATAACTCGATTCTTCTCGGGTTCCCGACTAAAACCCTCTGACTATCTGTTTCTCATCCGACAAGTTGTTTTATTTGGACTAGTCATACTTTTCGTCTCGGGAATCTCAGACAGACTATACTTCGGCGAGTGGACCTTCCCACCATACCAGTTCCTCAATTTCAACGTCAACCAAGACCTTGCAGTCTTTTACGGACGCAATGTCTGGCACTACTATCTTTCCCAAGGCCTCCCTTTACTTCTCACAACCTACCTACCATTCGCTTTAATCGGACTCTGGAACTCGGCTTCCCTTCCAGCAGGCAACATCCGCTTCCTACTAGCAACCACGATCCTCGTGACCGTCAGTACCCTCTCCCTAATCGCGCACAAAGAAGTCCGCTTCATCTACCCGCTCCTCCCTCTCCTCCACATCCTCGCCGCCCCCTCAATCAGCGCCTTCTTCCACACTCCACAAAACCGAACAACCCATCCAACCCCTGTCCCCACGACCACGACCACGACCACGGCCCCTACCATCCACCGCAAGCCCCTGCTAGCTCTCCTCCTCCTCCTCAATCTATCCATCGCAGCCTTCACAACCCTAAATCACCAACGCGGCGTCCTCTCCGTCCTAACCTTCCTCCGCCACGAATACGAAACCACGCACCCCACGCTCCTCGACCCCAACGGCGCCTTACGCCCATCATCCCACGATACCGACACCAAAATCGAAACATTCGCCGCCTTCCTCATGCCCTGCCACAGCACGCCCTGGCGCAGCAAGCTCTCGCACCCGTCCCTACACGCCTGGGCGCTAACCTGCGAGCCGCCGCTGCATCTCACAGCGCGCACGCCAGAACGGGCGGCGTACCGAGACGAGGCGGATCGGTTCTATGACGATCCGCAGAGGTTTTTCAGGGAGGAGATTGGGGTGGCTGGGGGGGAGAGGCCGTGGCCGCCGCGGTTTGTGGTGGGGTTTCAGGGCGTTGAGGGGGTGTTGAGGGAGGAGG